CAGTTCTAATAGTAGGCAGTGATTAACATCCGCAGTAGCCTTGAATAGTATATGGTCACGCTATCAAAATGGTTCCTTCCTCTTTGGGACAAGCGGGAAATTGCGGGCGCCTCACCCGCACGTGACATCATCGAGGGGCAGTGTATCAGTTTCATGCGCTGTAATACGGATTTTCAATACAAAAGGTATATTGAAGAGAGAGAGAGATTACAATATAAAAATTTGAACATTCACATATTAGTAATGTGGCATAAGATCTACCTGATTACCTACCTGGGTAGGCATTGCTCTCTATTCAGGAATATTTGACATGTATGCGAATAATACTGTGTGTCTATATATGCCTTTACTTAACCCCGCCAAATTCGGTGATTCAGCCCTATCGAGGGATTTACCTTCTTTCGTGAAGCAATCGAATTTGATTCAAAAGACAATACTTATCTAACATTCTATCTACTTCTGCCTCATTCCCCAAATACCTACATAGGTACCTAGGTAACAACCTCAAAAGCTGAATCATTGATGTGTCATCATAGTGTGGCGGTATTCCCGTATTGGGCAGTACAATACCGACAGAATCGATTCCGCCCACCTGGGGGCACTTTTCCCCCTCTTGAGACTCCCAATTATCTTCTTCCCTCTTTCTTTTCCACACAAAGACGTAATCGTAAGTCGACCTACTTCCTCTCTTAACTTGAATCAACTGACGATCCATCTCCCAGTTTCTTTTTTACATTTTACAACTTTCTCTCTTTGCTCGTCATGGCTCTCAAGCGTATTAACAAGGAACTCACTGACCTCGGCCGGTAAGCCTATCCTGATGCCATCATCTGCGCTTCATGATTCTAACCCTCCTCTAGGGATCCACCCTCTTCCTGCTCCGCTGGTCCCGTTGGAGATGACCTGGTATGAACACTCGTTTTCTTGCTCGGCGCCGTGTGGCGGGGCACAACCTGCTCTGGTTTTGACCAGGTTGATATCAATGAGGGGATCATGAATTACTGACTTGTCGTTTCTTTTTGCAGTTCCACTGGCAAGCGACCATCATGGGTCCTGTAAGTTGTCCACGTCTGGAGGACCTTGGGGGCCAGATGGCCCTCTGCGAAGTCCAGAGATTGATTATTGGACTCGCGATACTAATTGATCATATAGGGTGACTCCCCATACTCTGGCGGTGTCTTCTTCCTTGCCATTCACTTCCCTACCGACTACCCCTTCAAGCCTCCCAAGGTCAACTTCACCACTCGCATCTACCACCCCAACATCAACTCCAACGGCAGCATCTGTCTGGACATCTTGAGAGATCAATGGAGCCCTGCTCTGACCATCTCTAAAGGTGAGAGCAAGATCTCTCCTTTCATTCTCTGCGCACAATGGCTAACCAATCATATAGTGTTGCTCTCCATTTGCTCGATGCTCACAGACCCCAACCCGGACGATCCTCTTGTGCCCGAAATCGCGCACGTCTACAAGACCGACCGCCCCCGGTACGAGGCCACAGCTCGCGAGTGGACGCGGAAGTACGCTATTTGAGTGAAACGACAAATCTGATTCCTTCGCTTTCATGTTCTTCTCTCTTCCTCTCAATAACCCTCCTTGCGGCCCCTATCTCGCTCGACCACTTCTCAGTGTCATCTCAACGTCGCTCTGCATCTTTCCGCTTTCTTTGCCCTCCTCTAGATTCAGAATCCGAAAGCCTGGCGTACCTGTGGTCGTAGAAATGTTTTCAGTTTTGTTTCCCAAACTCTGTTGATTTCAAATGCACCTGTTCTTGCGCGCGTTGGCTTCCTGCTTCCGTGCCTAAAAACTCCATTTGCGCCGGGTTTTGACCTTGTCTTGTTGGGCTGAGTTTCTGGGACTTTTCATATCCAACGATCCTTATGACAAATTCTCATGCATTCATGGCATCCATTTCTTCTTCTTTTTCAAACGCTGCATGCGTCTAGGATTGAATTATGGGTTTTGCCGAGTTTTCTCCTTGGATTCTTTGCTCTAGGCGATTCTTCGGACTCGGTGGGTAATGGTTTGAGGGTTTCGGGGAGTAGTTCGAGGTCGCCGTTTGTGTGTCTTGTGATTAGGGGCTTTCATCTTTTCCTACCTTAAATAACACAATCTAGGCAGGCCTGTCTTGTGTGTTGAACTTTTGATATTTATAGACTGTATAGACTGTAGACTGTACATTGTGTAGAGTTGAACTGATCATCGATATATCAACTATGACTTCAAAACACCGACTCTTGAATAATGCATTCCAATTGCCCAGCTCCCAACTCCATATATGTATATGTATGTATATCTATGTATGTAAATGCAAATCAAAAGATTAATAGTAGAAACCCATCAAATCAAGTCTGTCGGATCGAAATATCCCCCGACTGAACCAAAACCCAGACTCAAAGTAAGTCCAAGCAAGTCCAGCAAAAAGAGAGAAAAGAAATAAAATGCAAAAGAAACCCCAAGTCCAATTACAATGAACCAGGAACCAATCAGACGTATTTCAAAAATGCATCCACCATCAAACAACCTGACTCCCCCGTCGACTCCCAGCCTTCGACCCCTCCCCAGCCTTCGCAGTCCTCTGACTAGCCCTAGAAACCTGACTCACCGAGTCCGCCGGACTAACATGATCGTCAACCCTAGACCCCTTAGAACTCCTCGACCGATGCGACCGATGCCGATGCGTACGCGACCCAATCTGGCTAATCGAGTCATCCGGCGAAACATGCGAGTCAACATCCAGATCCGCCACGCTCTCCGGCAGCGGGATATCCCTTGCAGACAAATACGAGTTCCCGCACTCCTTGCTGTGGATACTCGGGCTGGAGTAGTATGTAGCGTTCGAGCCAGCGGGGAGCGGGATATTGCGCGCAGAGCGGGATGATGAAACGCTAGCGTTGTCCTTGCCGACGTGCGAGGATGAGCGCACTGAGGCTGCGCGGTATGACTGCGTGCTTTGCTGGCTCTTGTGCGAACGGTGTGAGACGGTTGACTCGTACCCGTCGCGGTCGTCGTGGCTGTGGCGGCGGTGTGTGCTCTGTGACGCTTTGATCGTCGATGAGCTGTGTACGCTGCTTGCGGGGCCGCGCGTTTTCTCGTCGTGGTAGCTGCTGATGAAGGTTGAGGGCGCGCAGGCGTAGCGTTGTTGGGAGGCGTTGCTGGCGGGTGGGTACTCGATTGCCCGGAGCGGGGTGTCTTCTGGGATGCTGTAGATGCTGCCTTCTGAGGCGCGGCGAGGGTTGTCGTGCATGTACTCGGTGCCTTCGTAGATGGTGCTGGCGCGGGGATTCTTGGAGGTTACGCTGCGCGTTAGGGTTGAGCGTGGGTTTGAGGCGCTGGTGTAGGAGCTGCGCGGTGGTTGTGGTGCTTCGATGGCACGGTATTGGGATTGTTGGTCGTCGTTGCCGAAGAAGGATTGGGCGGCGGCTTTGATTTGGGGGAAGTTGCTTGCGAACTGAACTGGCTGTTCGGGTTCTTCGGTCGTTGACTGGGAGTCGCCTTTGACCATTGCGTAGGCGATTGCTGCGCCTGCAGCGGCGCCAATGAGCGTGCCCACGATGGTCTTGGCTGCCTTGCTGCCATCGTCGCTCTGTGGCGGTGCGGGCGCTTGCACGGTGTATGACGGTGGCGGCGGGCCTTGAGATTGGCGGGAGACGACAGTTGGTGCAGACCGCTCATATGTGGTGGGTGCCTTGGAAATGGCGCGAGATTTGGTCTCAGATCGAGCTTCGGATCTTGCTTCGGATCTCGCCTCAGACCGGGCCACGGATCTGGTTTCTGACATGGCCTCGGATCTTGGGGGTGCGATGCTCTCTGCCTTGATGGTGCTAGCTTTGCTGTTTGCCTTTGAGACCACAGAGCGGCTGGAACCCTCTAGAAGAGCCATTGTCGGCCCGCTGGCCCCTGATATAACAGAGGCACTGCCAGGTCGGTACACGGCTTCAATGCTGTTGCCGTCAAAGTCGATGACGGCTGCACTGAAGTACCCAGATTGCGAATCTCGCATCTTGGGTTCGCCGTGGATCTTCGCGCCGGCTTTCAGGGCGCTTATGAAGAATGAGCCGACTGCGTCTTTTGACGGGGCTGGAAAGGCGACATGGACTGCACCAGGAGGAGATCTTTGATTATTATTAGCTTTGTCGAAAAACAAGGTGTTTCTTTGTATACATATCACTCACCCAGGCTTAGTCTCGGTCATCCAGAAATCAGCAGGCTCCCCCTGCTTCTGACCGAAACCTATATAATCGTCATGTCGACCAATGAATTGGTATCCCAACGGCTGTAAACATGATAAGAAGAAAGAGGTAGAGGTTGGGAGGTGAGAGACGGTTAGGGTGATATGCGAAACGGGCATGGCGGAGGTTGAAGTCGACGTGCCTGGAGACCCGCACGTACAAAGGGTTAAAAAGGAATGGGGATATGAAAAGTCAAGATGGATGGAAAGAAAGAGAGAGATTAAATGGAACCGGTAAGGATATATACGGTGAGGGAATCCAAGTCTATAGAACTATGACGCCAGGAAATGAGGCCACATGAACGGTCGGTCCAAGAGCCAGTCAGAATAAATGCTGTGAGACTCTAATCCAAAAGGAGAGAGGGAATAAACTAGCAGCTTCCAAAATCCTGCCCAAGCTGGCAAAAAGGGGTCATCCAGAACACCGCATGTCTCCCGATAGTGCGTTGGTGGACACTATGAAGACGTGTGATTTCTGTATGGAGTCAGGCAAAGTGGGGGTCCATTGACAATTGGCCGAATGATCAAGTCAATGCTCAGTACCCGATCGGCATGGAAAAGTTGAAACAGAGTACTCCGTACTGAGTACGGAGTACAAGGGCGGGCAATGAGGCGTGTTGGAGGCCCAAAGGTTGTACTTTGCACTTCAGAATCGAAAGAAAGTCAGTCCGGTACTTCCAGTAACAGAGTACTCAGACCGGAGGCTGGTCCTGTTCCTGGCTGCTTTCGGATATCTAGGGGCCCAACTCTGGACAAAGTGAAACGCTCTATGGCTGGAGGGGTGCAGATGGGTCCCTGCCAGGTCATCGCGGGGAGCCAATGTGGATTCCTGTTGGCGGATGGGGCGTCTGTTCTGGATTCCCTGAGCGAGGTGCAGGAGCCTATCGACGTTAAGTGGGCATTTTGCTTACTTGTTCCTCCTCGTGTGAGCAAATGGCGGACTTTCAAGTGGAGGAAGAAGAAAAAAGACTTGCTGCCAGGTGGACTTGGGTAGATGTGCTGACCGCCACGGGGGTTGAGTCATACATCGTACGTTCATAATTTGGGGTCTTTTTGATGTTATTCTCTACAACTGTTGTAGAGAATAATATGATTTACATAGAGTAATAAATATGATATCTAGAATATCTACGTATAATATCTTACATACCAAATACAAGATGGGCAGAGGTGCATCTCGCCACCCTCCAATTCGCGCATTGAAAGTGAGGCGAGGCTAATTGCATGCCACGTCAAGGATCACTGCTAACTATAGTATACTAATGTACGAACTATTACAATATACTATGGAAAAGTCAAAAAATAAAAAAGCCATATTTTTATTGAACACAGAAGTTGAAGATATGTGTCTCAGAATCCCAAATCAATGGGGTCTGATCTATGTGCTGTTCACTTTTTCTGGTCTACACATCGCAACAGTCGAGGTTGAAGCTGGATGGAGGCAAGACGGATCAAGGACTGGCGAAAAGGAACCAAATGCCATCCGACCCGTATATGCTGAGGGGGGGGAAAGCACCAGGTGCTCTCTAAACACCCACAGACAAATGGGATGAATCCCGATGCTTGGTAGCTGTCCCGGTGGATTTACCCCCAAACAAAACAGAGAGATATAGAAAGGTAGAGAGAGCTGGGCTTAGATAACAGCCAAAATACTTGAAGGACAAGACATATGCAGAGATATGACTGGTGCCTTCATTTTGCAGCTCAATCCCTGCCCGTAAAAAAAAAAAAGCTGTGGCAAATGTGCCGCCAATATAGACGACAAGGACGCGCGCTCTCTGGGCGCGATTTCTTTTTTTTTTTTTCCCGGTCGAGTTTCTCAGAGGATATCCCAGACCTCTTCGGCAGCATGGCAGAACTTGCTGCAGGCAACACTCGCACTAAGACTGTAGTTGCTGATACTGATAGTATCGTCCTTGAAGGAGTCGGCAAAGTCGTCGTGACCCTTGGCCATGGCACCGACGAAGATGGCGACACTCTCGTTAGGGTTCAACGTCTCCAGATAATCCTTGGTGCGGACCACCGGCGCCTCGAAACTCATGGTCACCTTCCGGCAGTTGGGGGGCAGGTGGTCGGTGATTGGGTTCTTAATAACCTTAAGGAGCTTTTCTTGTGAGTTGGTCGAGCGGATGGAGAGTCGGTGGAGCAGCTGGACCATCAGACCGGCGAACCGCTTGAACGTTCTCGGGATGCGGACTGAAGGGTTGACTTCGATCAAAACGCCCTTGGCGGTGTGAATGAAAATTTGGAGCCGACCGGCCTTGTTCACGGGGGAATCGAGAAGAGTGAGCAGACACTGCGGTGGGTTAGTAGGTATTCGTTTTTGACCTTTCTATTGCCACTGGCGATGTTGAATCGTACCTGGTGGGTAATATCCGGTCGGGCTTCGCTAATATCGCGGTTCATTTTGCGCATGATACCGATGTGCTCATCGCTGTTCAACAGAGAGAACTTCTCATCCTTGGTTCCTGAACGTCCACTGGAGACAGCCTTGTAGGTTTCCAGACTGGCATTGGAGAGAACCACAATCAAGCGTTGGGTGTCCTTGTCATGGGATGGAATTGGCACATGCTGTTCGGCAACTAGCTGGGGAAGTTCCGGAGGAGGGCATGACTGAGTCCCTGAAGATTGGATGTCAGACATGTTGAAGTTGAAAATTGCAATTCAGGCGCGGGGAGGGGTAAAGGGAAGAAAATGGTGACAGATGTGGCTGAGATGTGATCGGAGGATTGGTGCCCAGCGACATGTCACACGGACCAAATCAGAATGGAAGATTTTGATGTTGGAGAATTGGAGGATTGGAGGATTTGCTGTCGAGTGCTCGCGTGTATATGTTGTAGAGTTGCGCAGAGGGGGAAAAAAAAATCAAATCAAATCAAACGGAATAATGAGATTGTAAAGCAAGGGGGAAGCATAAAAAGAGACAAAATACATACTCGCACGCTTTCTCTTTCCAGCAGCCTGTTCTTGGTCGGACATTGTTTAAATTTGCAACTTGAAAAGATGTTGGAGTTGAAGAGTTTTTGGGGGACAAAAACTCCCGGGGAAATGAAAAGCGGCCAGACGAGGGCTGATGGAATTATATCGAATCTCACTCTGCATATATATATATTAACTACATGCAGGTAGTTTTATGTTTTATTTTATTATTTAGAATGGAATTCTTCATTTCTATATGTCTAAAGAGTAAAATTGCAATATGCAATATAGTAAAATATAAAATATAGGACTTAGCACTATGTCCTACACACAGATATATATAACTTGGGATATTGTATCTCCTCATAGTCTTCGATAACCTTGGAAATTCCCTTTTAATGTTAGTTTCAACGGTTTAGGGCCACTCTTCGTCAGAGAGATCGACATTACCCCTCTCAACATGTATGATTCCAGCTCCGTTTGAACCAGCCACAATCTGACGAGGAAAGCCACATCAAGGCTTCTCTTTTGTAGATACAGTAATAGGTCCCAACAATATCAGAACCGTGTAATAATGCCTGACAAGGATATACCAATCCAACTTGGCTTGGGACTATCTTCTCCGTACCTCTGGTCCAGACCTTGATAGACCGGCGAGTTTGAACACAGTACTCTCCAGTGCACAATGAACACCACTGGAGGAGTTGGTTGTACCGGATGATGAGGATGTGTAACGTCCTCTGCATAAAATTGTGTTGGTGACTCAGAACAAACAGATCTGACTGGCTCATGTCCAGCATTGTCTCTTAGGGGCCAGCCTACTCTGTAAGCTCTTGGCCAGTGGATGAGAAGGGTCAGCACAGATATAAAGGCCGTGAATGGATCAGAATGGATCAGAATGGCAAAGGTGGTACAAGAAAGCTTTGTCACCAGGGCAGCAAATCTGAGGGCCGTGAACAAGGAGAAGCTCTTCTGGTAATCTTCTCCGAGACAGTCCAGAGTCGCAGCCTGTGTAGGCCTCTCTCGACCATGAATTTGGACTCCGCGGTCTGGCTAGCGACCGGTATGGATGTGTATAATGTAGGCTCCAGCAATGAATTGCTCATCTTTGCACGATGATATGCCAAGCGCTGAGTTGCCAAGTGTGAAATCCGGGGGACCAGGCCTCCCATATGTCGTATGGGTAACCCTGTAACCTGGCTAATATCCCCAAACCAATCAACTTGACAAGATGAAAGATCTCTTTCGGGTCTTGACCCAATCAGCACGTAATAGTTTGTGTTGGGTTGGTTGGCCCCAAGCGCCCGGTATATTCCTTGAAGTGAGAATAATTGCTTCAACCTGTAACCTGTAACCTGTAGCCTGTAGGCGCTGAATGTGAAGTGTTAGAGCGGTCAATAAGGATCATCGCAATACCAACGTGCGCTTCCTTGCACAATGCAAAACGGGGAAAGCCTTACTGGTTATGGAAGCCTTGCACACGCCTTGGCGAGAGGCCAAGGGGGGCTCAGGAGGGTTCAGGAGGGTTCAGGAGAGCGTCATCTTTAATCTCCCAGATCCTCCGTAGACTTTTCCCAGTGCAATAAGATAGTCTCATTGGTTGAATCTTCGGATTGGAGCCTGCCAATTGCCTTCCTATTGCTCCATATATTCGTTATATTATTCGTTATATTATTGTGAAGTCAATTTAGAAAGGGGGCGAAGGGGAAAAAAAAGAGGAAGTGCCCGACATACCAACCACAAGGAATTTGACAAGGCTGGTGATTGTTATTTGTTCTTTATCTGCACATCTTGACATCTTGAGATCTTCACATCTTTATATCTTCTCTTCTCTTCTCTCTTCTCTTGACTATTTTCCCCCATATCTTTCTCTATTTTCTCCTTGGCCCGGTCTTAATCCCGGTGGCGAGACTCTCCTATCTTACAAAACCCAGCTCTTCATCAGAAACTCTGTTGATCATTTCCATTTTATACGGAATATTCTTCCTGAACTTGAAACTTTTCCAAAAACAAAACAAAACACACCTCCATACGGAGTACGGAGTAAGGGATAAAAAGCCCAGCTGCCCAGCTGCCCAGGTGGTAAGTCAACCTTAGTCATTCGAAACAATATGACCTAAAACAGACTAGCGTTCCACGCGTGCCGTCACCAAGCTCGACTTTCTTTAACTTCTTCATCCCACCTTGCCCGGAGCAAATTTTGGAGAAGTCAGGGTCATGCCGTGGACAGTTACCAATTCATTTAAGAGGTATGTGTGTTTATTCCAACCTACAAGGTGTGTGCAACTAACATCCCACTCCAAGAGGCCTTATGAAAACTTACGGGCGACCAACATGGCGCGTCTACGACGATGAGCGCGCCGCGAAGAAAAGACGCGTGGATGAGTCCGATGAAGCTGAAGCCAACCTGCAATATGCCATCCGCGAGTCTTCAGCGGCCATACTCTCGAGCCCGTCGCGTCGCAACTCCTTGTTGTCGGAAGGCACGCTCGATGATATTGACGATCTCACCACACCACCATCGTCGCCCCCACCACGGTTAAGCCCGCCGCCAGCAACCACCCGCAAGCCGACATTCGCCTTTCTCAAGCGCAAGCACAAGGAAGGTTCGACCGGGTCGCCCTTGACAGAGGTTAACTCGAATAGCGTACGCGCATCGGTGGACCCACCCAAACAAAAAGGTCAGAAACAACCCGTCATGCGCCAGATGCAGATCGACCTGGGAAATGATACACGAAAGACCTGTGCGACCTGTGGCATGGAATATATCCCGTCCAATACAGAGGATGCGGCACTGCATAAAAAGTTCCACGAGATGAATGCGACTGGGATCGACCTGGGCAAGGCATTTATGCGTGCGAACGCCTCACGCTGGGTTTACGAAGCGACTCGATTCGATGAGGGGTACGTGGTAATTGTGGACCGCAAGGCGTCCCCTAGCGCCAAGAGCCAAGCGAAGAAGGTCCTCGAGGTTGTCAATAAGGAGCTATCGTCACCGGAAATCGACGACGAGACCCTCTGGAGCCAAACGGAACCACCCAAACACTTGCAGGATGGCCCGACCGAGAAAGTGGATCGGTACCGGGTCTTTCTGCATATGAAGGACAGTCGCTGTGTCGGGCTCTGCCTGACCGAGCGCATCTGGGAATCCCGACCGGTGGTGAAGGAACAGAATGGCGACGCACACAACGGCTCTGTCTCGACGCGAGATGAAACTCGCCCGGCCATCGTCGGAATCTCTCGCATCTGGACTTCTGGATCCTCGCGGCGAAAGGGAATCGCTTTAGACCTCCTTGACTGCGTGGTCATCAACTTTATTTACGGAATGGAAATAACAAAAGCACAAATTGCATTCAGCCAGCCCACAGAGAGTGGCAATCGCCTGGCACATAAGTTTTTCGAGGGTGAAGAGACATGGCATGTCTATAACGAGCGGTGATGGGTGACTTGCATAGGTCTTCTTTAATTTATTCTATGGGTGAGGCATTGAGGCATATTGGGGGGTTTTGATTGTATTCTCGAGCGTTTTATTTTTTTTATTGTCTGCTTTTGTACCATATCTGTACCCTTTTCCCGTGTACAATAGGGAGGGATGCATTTTCAATCCAATTTGACTGAATTGCACTTTTAATACATTTTATTTCAAGCCTCTCGGGGCAGCCGGACCTCAAGCTCGGAAAGCGGCGCGTAGGACCTCATGGATAAGAAACTCGGCGGGGACCCCTCAATTCTTCTCTTCCTTTTCCTCTCTATTCTAACTTATTCATTCTCGCGATGTCCGGATCAAATCCTTTTCGCCCTAGAAATCCGGGTGAGTATTGTTTTCCTTCTTTTCCCTCTTGAGCTTCCCGGTGACACGGGGGGAAATCATCCCCAACATGGCACTGATATGAATCTGGATAGGCAATCCCGCAGATCCATTGTCTACCAACTCGGGCACTTTTGCTCCTGCTTTGCCCTCCAAGCCTCTACCTACGCCACCCATACCCCCGAATGATTACCCTAGGAAGTCATCCATATCGCTCGAACGCGAGGTAGATGACTCGAGCTCCTCGGACGAAGAGACAAACCCATTCAATCCGGATGTGTCTGGGAGCGATAGTGAGGACGAAAGCAATGGGTACAAGAGCCCAGCGCCCCGTGAGGATGATCGACTACGAGAATCTCTTGGGTCAGCTCCACACCCAGCTCCATCAACAGATGGATCCCCCATATCCCCCGACCACAACAGGCGGTCTGCAACAGGTGCAGACAGTTTTCCTGCAGCACGTCCTGCAGCACGGTTATCTGTAGAGCTTGATGCAAACAGCTCTTTCGGCCGAGCCAAAGACAAGAAGCCGCCGCCTCCGCCTAGAAGTCATCACGGCCGCAGGATCGGCTCTACAGCTACCGCAGAATCATCCCAGACCGCCCGGTCCCGGTCTACTAACCGCCTGTCAATTCATGGCTCTGGGAACGTGACGCCCGGGGCCTCGCATCCCAGCTCTGTGTCTCTATCATCGACCACGGACTATTTCTCGGGCCCTGGGGCGACAGGGTCGACGGACTCGCTCCAGCGCAGTCAATCTCATAAGCGTCCTCCGACGCCACCTCTCAGTCGACGGCACAGCCAGATGAGGAGATCCAAATCTACACAGTCCAAAACTAGCAGCAGATTAAACATGTCTTACGATTCGGAGAGCAATGATGGCTCTCTGCCTCCCAGCCCGGGGCCTTCTAGTCGGGCGCTGCAAAACAAGAGAATCAGCATGCCCCCGCCATCATCGGGAGACTTCCAAGCGACTGCCCCGTTGGAGATATCTCGCTGAACCTGTCTCCCCCCCACTAACTCCAGTCCATCATCACTGAAGGCTGGGCGGCGGGTATCATCCTATGGGAGTGTACCGTCTGGCTCTACTGGACCCCCGCCGCCCCCTCCGCCTCGGCGCACTCGAGATTCCATTGCCCGTAGTAATGATGTGATGGGGTTGAAGGAGAACCAGACGCCAGCCCCACAACCATCCAATGCCCTTGACATCCTGGCTGATCTCAGCAAGCTTCAGAAAGAGGTGGATGATCTTCGGGGGCATTATGAAAATCGGAAAGTTAGGGATTGAAAGGGGAGCAGCGGGCTGTTTTCTCTTCCACGTTTCCACGTTTTAGTATAGGCGACTGTATACATGAATGAATGAATGCATGAATTTGGCGTATGTTTGCCAGTTTCGGATTTCTGGTAAATCCTGAACAATGACCTTCTATGGGGAAAGATGAAAGGCGGGACGGATCTGGTAGGTGGGGATTAGCGTCCATCATGACAGCGGTGGTCCAGGTTGCATAAAAGACGTCGATAAAGGATATGAGTAAATATAAGCTTGTAATATCGTCTTGAACCAAATAAATTGGATAATTCAAATTTTCAATTTTTTTGTCAAGGGCAACAACCTTCCAAGGTTGTAAGCAGATAAATTAGGCCAGATATCTGAGGACTTATACCCAGGTAATATATGTGTGGCCCGCATAATTGTCATGGTGGCCACTAATCCCCATTGCACTCACCACTGAGGTATGACGTGGGGGAAATTAATTATTTAGTTCTCCAAGTCCAAGGCAAGTCCATCTCTCCTTCTCTCCCTTTTTTCAACCTCCATCTCCTTGGACGTCTTTCACTGAATTACTGATTCTGCTTAATTTTCAGAGATTCATCTTCATATCTTCGCATCATGAATACTCCAACGCTGATCAATTTGCCTCCTCCCCCAGCGGACCCCGTCACTCCATCGGATATGGGACCGTAAGAGCTCTCTATAACCCTATCTCCCCCTCTCTATTGTCTATACCTAACTTGAAGATTTAACTGACTTGGCTAATTAACGGGGAAATCAGAGGCACCCCCAACTCCGGCACTACATCGTTATCTGCTCTCTCGACAACTGCCATCAAAGACGGCCACCAGGGCCAACCATTCCCCCACAGCCACCATGCGCATCAGTCCTCTACATCATCTACCACAACCCTAGAGGCTGAGCGCGCAGATCGAATCTCCCGCCTAGCGGGCCTTGAGCGCGTTGCCACAGCCCGCGCCGGTGGCCAGACATCTTCCGGTCAAGTGCCTCAGCCGTATGCTCCAGGATACTTTGAGAGTCAAGCACTGAAGGAGCGCAGCACGGTTGGCAGCGCCAGCGCGACGGGCAGCATCGCCGGGCGCACGACCTGGGCGAGCAGTAGCGACACATACGACGCCGACAAAATGAGCGAGGACCACGAGGACGACGGCACCTCCAGTGTCGGCAACGTCAGTGACGAGGGTAATGCTAGTCTGGTTGGGTTTGGCGAGGGCGCCAACAGTACTTATAGCGGGCCGATTTCTCGTCCGCCTGGAATGAACCGCGTCTCCTCTGGAGGTATCGGAGGACGGCCTACTTCTATGGGTAGCTCGAATGTCAACCGCTCGACTCCGCTGGCTTCATATCTTCAGCAACAACAGCACCATGCCGGGGAGAGTTCTATGATGTCGTCGTCCCCGGCTGGGTCGATGACTCCCGAACCTATGAATGAGGATGCTCGCATGGTTGATGGTATGACTTTTGACTCCGATGTTGTTGATACTACTGCCAGAACTCCACGATTGGTTTCCACGCCCGGCCACAGCAACAGTGGATTTGACTCGCCAGGCAGGGATTAAATTCTGGTCCATGCTTTGGTAGATTCAAGAGGTTACGACGGCGTTTTTTTTAGTGGCTTGATGCTTCGAATGGGTTGCTTTTTTTTTTTTGCTTTTTTGCTTTTTTGCTTTCTTTGTGTATGTTTTTCGAAATAACCATGACTATGCATGTTATTATGAGCAGAGAAATCTGTGTATTGAGGCTCTTCTCTTCAAGATATCCAACTGTCGTCAGTACCTGATTTGGGTCTTCCCCTCCGAAGACCATTGCCACCTGTCTTTTCCACGTAAAGATCCAGACATTTAGACTCTATAGTAGATATCTAGGTATATAGACATCTAGAATAATATCCCATCAAACTACTATATCGTTTATTCAAGCTTCAAGCCAAGCCCCAAGCGTATCTATACAGTTGGGATTCCCGGCACAACGCGTAAACCGCAGATGACGGCATGCCGCCTGAGCCACATCGCCAAACCCGAATTTTTTCTTCCTTTCACTCTTCAACCACCCACCTTTCTTCGCCCGTCCTCTTTTGCTGGCATTGACTTGTCTAGCAGTCTTCTATTCCGACTTGCTGTTTGCACTTGCCCACCCCCACGAATTCCCAATCCGAGAAATACCCCCGAAAAGCCCGTTTCACTTCGCCTTTGTTCAACTCCCCGTTATTTTCTACCGGGACCGTTGTTCGTTGTGAGGTTATTTTGGTCCTATAAGTCCGCTTTGTGGTTTCGCATTTCTTCCTAGAAGAAATCTATTTACCTTTGTGTCCGGAAAAAGCGTTCGATTTCTCTTCTTTTGGTGGATTCATTCTAGACCCGCGAGTTGAAATCAAGATGACTGCTCCTACGCAACTTGCTTGTACGTGTTTTCCTTTCCCTGTCTTTGATCTCGACTTCGGGTCGCATTAATCGGCGCGAGTGGATGAATGGTTGCTGATAATCGCACAGTCCGCACGCTCAAGGGCATTAGCATCATGGATGCCGCCCCTGTCTATCAGCCCCTTTCTGGGTTCGAGAAGTAAGAATTGAGTCCGATAACAAACAAGAAATTTTGCTGACTTGTTCCCCAAGGCCAGAGGGTAACCTCCGCTGTAGCGCTTACTCGCCGTGTGGCCGGTATTTCGCATGGGCATCACCCGAGAAGTAAGTTGGGTAAACCCCCCCACTTTCACGTCCAAAATCTAATATTCGTCTCCAACACAGGGTCACCATTATCGATCCTTCCGTGGGCCAAGTCGTTGGAACCATCCCTGCCGATAATGTGTTCGAGCTTGGATTCTCGCCACTCGGCACTTACGTGATCACCTGGCAGCGCACATCTAAGGACGAGAACGGAGACGCCGTCAAGAACTTGAAGGTTTGGCGTGCCATTGAGGCCGGGGACGAACACTCGGTTGTGGGAAGTTTCGTCCAGAAGTCGCAGACCGGTTGGAACTTGCAGTACACTGCTGATGAGCGGTTGTGCGCCCGCACCGTGACCAATGAGGTTCAGTTCTACCAGAGCGACAACCTGTCTACTGTTTGGAACAAGTTGCGCGTGGAGGGAGTGTCGGACTTTGCGCTGTCGCCGGGTCAGACTCAGTCCATTGCCGTGTTCATTCCTGAGCGCAAGGGCCAGCCTGCTCAGGTTAAGGTGTTCATTGTGCCGCAGTTCACTGCGCCCGTGTCGCAGAAGAGTTTCTTCAAGGGCGATAAGGTCCAGCTGAAGTGGAACGCTTCTGGGACTACTTTGATCGTGCTTGCGCAGACTGAGGTGGACCGCACTGGCAAGAGTTACTACGGCGAGACGACCCTGTACTTGCTGAGCGCTAGCGGTGCATTCGACTCGCGCATTGATCTTGGTACGTTTTTTTTTTCCTTTTCTTTTTCTCTCGCTTTATTACTTGTTGCGGTCAACTGACAATCAACAGATAAGGAGGGCCCTATTCACGATGTTAGCTGGAACCCCAACTCGAAGGAATTCGGTGTTGTGTACGGCTACATGCCCGCTAAGACGACCATCTTCACTTTCCGCGGTATACCCAAGCACAACTTCCCCCTCGCGCCGCGCAACACCATCCAGTTCTCGCCCCATGGCCGCTTCGTGCTCGTTGCCGGTTTCGGTAACCTGGCAGGACAGATGGACCTCTATGACATGGACAAGAACTACCACAAGATCACCACTGTCGAGGCCTCCAACGCCAGCGTGTGCGCCTGGTCACCCGACGGACAGTACATCTTGACCGCGACGACCAGCCCCCGCCTGCGCGTCGACAACGGAGTGCGCATCTGGCACGTTAGCGGCGGTCTCACCTACAACGAGGACATGACTGAGCTCTACGACGTCACCTGGCGTCCGCAGAGCATCGAACAGCACCCGCTGGGCGAGCCGCTCACCAAGGTGCCCGCGCCCCACCCCTCCGCCATCGCCTACTTGAGCACGCGCAAGGCCCCCGTCAAGCCAGCAGGTGCCTACCGTCCCCCCGGTGCCCGTGGCCAGCTGACCCCGCTCGCATTCAAGCGTGAAGATGAAGGTGGCGCCGCCTTTGTCCGCGACGGCGTGCCCGGCGCCAGCATGAACACCTTCGGCAAGCCCCGGCGCCGTGAGATCCCCGGCGCTGAGCCCTCGGAGGAGTACCTGCCTCCCGGAGCCGCGCCTGGCGGCGGCGTCGCCCTGCCTACCGAGAACCTGTCCAAGTCCGCGGCGAAGAACAAGAAGAAGCGCGAGGCGGCTAAGAAGGCCAAGGAAGATGGAGCTGATAACGCTCCTCCTGCCAACGCCCCGACTGGGCCCAGCCCAGACCGCAACCGTAACCGTGGCAAGAATGCTGGAGCCACGAATGGAAACGGTGTGGCCAAGTCTGCCCCTGCCCCTGCCCCTGCCGCTGCCCCGGCTCCCGCAGCTGTCGAGGATCCCTCTGCCCAGGATAAGAAGATCCGTGGCCTGCTGAAGAAGATCCGCGCTATTGATGAACTTAAGATGCGTCTTGCCGGTGGTGAGAAGTTGGAGGATACGCAGATGAAGAAGATCCAGACTGAGGATGCGGTGCGGAAGGAGCTTCAGGCTGTTGGGTATGATGGTTGATTGGAATTGAACAGATGAGAATGCGTGATGCTTAACGCTTTGACGACGTTGATGCGGATTGCACCCTTGCATGGATATAGTTAGATCGACCTGCATGTATTGCATCTGGTATAGGAGCTGTTCAGATTGACTTATCCATATCAATATCAATACCACCCCCTATCAATATGAACTTGGAATTGTAGTGTTATCAGTTTCCCTCTGCGGAGGCGAACTTCCTGGGGAATTTATATTGGAGAAGGAAAGAGACTAGAAAATAAACATAGCATTTGGGCTTTGGTCTCTTCGTAATATGAATACAATTATATCTGATTCTCTCCCTCAAGATCTCCAACCTGCACACCCCAAACCTGCCACTTAGCTTCCTCAACGAAGTCTCTCCGTAACCACAGCCCAGATGGCTGACCCTGCGCCGGTGATAATAGCCCTCTACTGGAAATATGGTCCCGTTCATCGCCAGGCTGAGTACGGTCCAGCCAATCAAACAGCAGACGAAGCTGCCAGATTCGATCACGAATTTGGTCCGGATCAGCGCCACGGCCGCGTGCGGATTGCACAATGTTGCGCACGGTATGCGACAGAGCGAGTCTCGCATCGACCGCTGAGGTACGTAGCCAGGGCGGTACAGAGACAAGATCGGTGGTGATGCGCGCGGAGCGCATCGGGAAGGAAGATGGGAGGACGAGGGAGCGCTCTCGGATGTCGAGGTCTTGTAAGGAGGGGAGTTGGAAGACCCAGTCCCAGGGGTTTTGAGATGGAGTCATCGCTGCAGATGGCTTGCCAGTGAGTAGGGCCGTGCGGGTTGGCCATGCCGAGGGTGGGAGGCCCTTGGCTGGGTTTGAGAAGGGACCGGTGGTTGCTGGGAGGATGTCTTGGGCTTCACTGAGGCCGGTCAGGGTGGAGGCGAAGACGGAGGTTGAGGAGCTTGGGCTATAGGTTGCCTTGCGGCGAAGGTAGACGGATGGGTCGCCACGGAGGAATTTCTCGCGTAGGGCATCGTTCTGGCTGAAATCTAGAACGAGGGGCCAGTGGTCTGGTCCGCGAATCTCAACACGGGCAATGCTGCTAGGATCTGGCAGTAGACAGGGGGCGCTGACGGTGCGGGTGGTCTCGTCATGAGATGTTATGGTAATGGGGATCGAGATTGGGCGGCGGGTATCAAGATCACGAGGGACGAGACATCGTGGCTCAGCGGCGAGAACCCAGAGATGGCGGAAGGCTTGGAGGTGACACTTGTTATCAAGGACAGTTGTTGGGAAGATCGGGTAGAATGCACAGATGAGCGCGGTCACATCGCGGTTGGATGTGCCAAGTGTGTAGCTGCCTCCTCCAAGGAAGAGTACTCCGATAGCCATGTGTGCTGCCATGTGACTGCCATATGGTGTATCAGTGTCGATTCGACCATGGAGCGAGCGCAGGCGCCGGAACAGAGCTAGATCACCCGTGCCAGCCATGACCGCCGCGGCAGATAGGGCCACCACATCTTGACAGTTCCGGACCGAGTTGCGGGCGAGTCTAGCATCGTAGCATCGCACAGGTAGCCGTGAGATGCGGATAAGCTGGTCTGGATAGAACAGCAACAGATCTCGGGCCTCTGTTTCTCCCGACCCAGCATGGCGGAGACCGACGGCAAAGCAGAGGCCTGCAATAATATTGAAGAATGGCATATCTTCGCTGCGCAGCCGGTGCACATCCGTGAGTCGCGATCTTCCCCGGTAGACTTCGGGCAGGCTCTGGCTGATCCACTCAGCAGTAGGTTTGATACTATCCCACATGATTAAGTGTCGTGCCAATGTTCGCAACAGGAACAGATCCGGCCTCACGTAGTCGAAGCGAACAGTGGTATCGGGGATATCAATCTTCTTGGCTAGTACCGAGTCGTTGGTCTTCATGAAGATTATCATGAGGGCAATGGTCGCGCCAGCTGTGGCACGGTCTAGTACATGGGCGATTTCGACGGTCTTGGTGCCCACCGCGATTGACAATAGCCGTTCAACAATGTGCATATCGCGCATGCCCCGCAAATCATCGCCTTTGCCAAGGTTAATGAAACCAAGGGCAAAGCCTGCGGCCAGACGATATCCTTCGTCGCGGAGTTCCTCTCCGGTGGCAGCAGCTTGCTCATCCTGCTCACTGTTTTCGATTTCCGAGAGCATGACCTCGCTCATACGACGATGCTGAGAGCCACAATAAAGTAAGCCGATGCCCATAATTCCAGCTGTCTGAGTCAACGGTGACAGGTTCAACTCAGCTGCTCCAAGTGGAAGCATTCTCGTAACATGTACCGAAAGCAAGCGTGTGATTAGAGTATCCATTGTGCCCATGTACGACGCAGAGAGGCCAAGCAGGAGACCAATTGATGTCATGGTATGCTTGGGAGTGAGGTATTTGAAAGCAACCCACTTGGCCAACGATTTAAGATGGCCATTCAGACCCAGAGCCAACAAAAACCCGGCATGCCGGTTGGTAAGATCCTGTGGTTTGTTGAACAAGATCCACGATGTGTCAATGCCCTTCGAAGCCTTGGAGATTGCCAGACCCGTTGATACTCCGTTGTGGAAGAAGGCCCAGCAGACCTTTTCTTCTGAGAACGCAGATCTATCCGCGCTGACCGTCACATTGTCCGGCTTCATGACGCACTGCAGGGAAAATGAAGGGATCGGCAGTTTCTCAGTCAATAGAGGCAATCGGCCACTAAAAGTGAGCATTGCACGACCCGCTGGAGTAGACAGCGTCCGGACTGTCACGAGCTGCACGATTTCTTTTTGCGCCTCTAACAAGTCCGACTCACTCCAGCCAGGTTCGGCTATACACTCTGCCACCGGTGCTTTGGACTGATTTAGTAGTTTAGCTGCTTCCATAAATCGCTTATCCTCTCGGAATATCAGCCTGGTGACTGAGTATCGGTCAGCCTCTGCAGACGCCTCAAAGGCGTTGATGGCATCAATATCCAATGCTGAGCTGCTGATATAATGGAAATCTCGGATGGCATTATGGTTAGGCTGCTGTGGTGCCGCCAATGAATTGGTTTGAGCCGGGTTCATCGACATGTAAAGGTCTTCTCTGTCAATCAGCTCTAGGAGTGACGCGTTCCAGGATGTGGAAGCCTCAATCTGACATTGCATAACGGCTTCATAGAGCGGTGCGCTGACGCCTTCTGGGAAGCTATCAATGACGCTCTTCGTGAACCCCCAGCGCTGCAAAAGCTTGATCTTGTCCAAGGGTGTCGACACACTGTGAACCTCGGCGAAGAAGCCATTCAGCGCACACGTTCTTGGTGTGATGCTGAAACATTCACGCCACATTCGCCCTTTCCTGGGTGTTCGCTCGGATGCATTCACAATATCAAGGAGAGAAACAAACGGTGTAGGGCTCCGATGAGCAGCAGCACCCATGAGAAACTCGAAGATGGATGGAGGCGGGAAGGGTTCCGCGGGAACCTGTAGCCCAGCGATATGGGTGTTATCCTCAAACTGCCAGCGCTCCATACTGGCCATTTCGGTGCCATAATAGGCATCCTCGGTCCATTTCCAGGATTCCCATCCTAGCCAGCCGCCCAATTGTGCGATGACAGGAGCAAGCAAACCAAGAGGTCTTTGGGACTCATCCGAGTCGCAGGTGGAGAGCTTCTGTTCCTCCCGCAATAGATGCAAGGCCACGAGAACACTGCACAATGCGGTACATCTTGTGTTCTCTGAGAACGCTTCAGAGATAGGGAGGTAGCCGTCGCGGCCAGCAGCCCTGAGGCCTTCGGGACTTTGGAGAAATTCACGACTGAGAGCGATGCACCGGATCAAGTATGAATTCTGGCGATATGTAGATCGACTTGCATTGCCACCTTTGGGTGCATCTCCTGATGCAAGACCCTCAATTGCGTCTTGTTCGACGATCCAGCCCCAGGAACTGTCCATCATCCACGGAGCTACGACACCAGATGAGCCAGACTCCAGGTCCAGCATGGACTCCCAGCTTTCCAGATCCAAGTGCCCTCCACTGCTCGATCTCAGTAGACCCTTCTTGCGACGCGCTCGCTTGGGAATCTGCGTTTGCGGAGGGGAGACGAATGGGGCTGCTAGACTTAACAAGACGACTGTCATGGCGGTCCACTCAATGTTGTTTTCCTCCTTGCCTCGAAGCCATTTCATGACCTCCCACCATGCCACCATGATGCCATCGCCCGCTTTCTCGGACTCGCGCAAGGCAAATTTGCAGATCTTGAGTATTTTCTTCACCAGTTCGTTGCGAGGCTCCATTCGGATTTGGAGTCTGTGGCGTTGTTTATGGGTGTCCACAAGGTCGATCTTCCCTCGAGAGCACCCATGATCAAACTTGTTGAAGACGAGGTCGGGATCTGCCATGACTCGGTTGACACCACTTTCTCTTGGACGACTCTCGAGTTTGTTGGCAGAGATGCCATCCGGTTCATACAGCTGCAGTGGCACAGGAATCTCAACTTTGACGGGACTACCCCACAGCGTTTGCAATGATAGTTCGCGGTGTCCGCTTTCCGTTTCACTTAACGAGAGTATTCGAGAAAGGTCCCCATCGGAGATTCTGCAAGCATCCAAGACATTTGAGACATTTTGGATCCTTACCGCACGCACGAGTAACGGACGCTGCTCGGCGGACTTGGACCTTTTCTTCCGGTACTTGGAGGTTGGCTCTCGGTCAGCCCTCAGATTCACAATAGTTAATTTCTGTGCCTCTTGGTCCACGATGTATACTGCCAGGGAAGTATTGCCTTTGTGGGCGCTTCCAAACTCGGTGGATGCCAATGTAGAAACCTTCAAGCGGCGGGATGCCGCCTCTTTTTTGGAAGCTGCCTGAGAATTGGGACGAGAAACTTTCAATCTTGGTTAATATAAGTTCCTCCGGGAGTCCGGATGTCGATTCGCGTAGGGCAATGTTCTCGAACCCGGAAGATAGACTGTCGTTGTTGAGCTCTTCGAGTAGCTTGTCCACTGGGGCATCCAGAAAGCTGCCCGCAGTGCTGTAAATAGACCCTGTGCCTGGAGGTAGAGAGCCTCGAGGGTTAAAACCAAAGCTTCCGCGAGTGCTTGCTCCTCCGATAGACTGCCTGAACCCAGTACCATGAGGCATGGTGCTGGACTGACTGCCAGTAGCCAGGTCCGAAAAAGTGATACGGTCCTGGCTAGTTGCAAGGTCTGTTCGGGCGAGAAGTGAGCTGACTCGCCTTGATGTTTTGAGGGGAACACCGACATCTCCGAACTCTTGGGCTACTCTCGAAGCCAAGTCGTCTTCAGCATCAGTCTTCCCTTCAGATACCTGAGTGGAAGGCCAGTTGTCGGTCCGAGGCCCAAAGCTCTCTCGGGTTGCTCCAGAGCGAGCGGCCGGTGTTGTCGCGCCAGTCGCCATCCCGAAATGCGAGCTTCGCCTTACTGACCGGGTACCACCTGTCTCCCGTCTGGCTTTGTCTTTCATTGAGCTTCCTGATTCATCGTCTTTGTAGCGCGCAGTCCAAATCGTGTAGATACCTGTAGTTGTGTTGATGGTAACCACTAGGATCAAAGGTCCGCTGTTTTGTCTGTTGGTATCCGAGAGTTCGTCTTTTGGGGAGATATACACAATCTCATCCACATGATCCAATACCTCTAGTCCAGATGGCCTTCCTCTGGTGCTATTAACGCTGCTCTGAAGCCAGCGGGAAGTTTGCGATGTCACAACCAGACCCATCTCGGAATGAGGATTAATGAGAGAGAAAACCCGGGGTAGGTTGGTGATTGAGCCAGCATTTGGCACCCACGAAGGACCTCCAGCAGATGATGATTTCGTCGATGGACGCTTGCTTTTGCTGAGAGAAAATGACTGAGAGGCACCGGGGTCGAATAGCGAAGCAGACATGAAGGAATTCGGCGGCGCAGCTGGTTGCTGACTGCCACCATTTTCATCCTGGACCTTCCTTTGGAAAATAAGACCTCGAGGCGTAGCAAAGACGGAGTCAACCTCAAATGGAAGGGGAATTGTATGGCTATTGCCCGCGACGAAGAATATGTGAGCTTGCGATTTGAGGACTACCACCAAAGCCCTGGAAAGAGCCTCATTAGAGTGCTGGGGAGCTACAACCGCCACTCGTGCATCTCCATGTAGATCCAATGTTGAGAAGGGTTCAGTCCGCTTTTGTTTCTGCGTGCCAGTAGCTGCTTCAGGTCGACTCGGAGGCGTGGTTTTAGAGTGTGTCTTGTCTTCCGCTGCAAAGCGAGTGAAAAGAGCATGCCGAATCTCTTCTTTCTCAGGGTCCATTCGAAATACTCGCTTCACCATCCCTGCGCGGGACCATACAACACAGTGTTTCGTCCATACTAACTCATCGTCCACAGGGCCAGTCAATCCGCTCTCGTCGACGCATAGCGTCCAATTATAATGGTCTTCCGAGGGCTCAGGGGGGAGGACTCCCTCTGCGACTAGATAGGAGACGGCCGAGGGTTCGTGAACGCCCAAAGAGCGAACTGACGCCATGGTGGGCTGATTAGCAGCCGGGGTAGCGATCGTGGTACGCTGTCACAAACAGTTCTGCAGTTGAAATCGTTGAAATCATTTCCATCGTTCACGTAAGTTCAATTAACGGTGCGCCCACAAGACATGCCGAGTGGTTGAATGTCGAAGTTGGAAGACGCGCTGGAACGCGGATTGGATCGACTGTCTTTGCTTTCCCGCCAAAACAACTTCCTTTCTCCATCCACCCAACCCTCCACTCTTCCTACCTTTGACGCTCTTCTCCCTATTTGCTTTTGTCTAGAAACGGGCGTTCAGTTACCAGATCTTACTTTGACTACAAATATTCGACGGTCAATCACCCCTGCGGTGCCCTGTGGCGCCTGTGCTCGAAGCTACCTATAGCTCGACAGCATCGCAACTAGTACAATGCCCTCATTTCCCACTACTCCCTTGGTACGCCCTAGGGAAGATGGCTTGCAGATCAGGTATGGTTAATGCGCTTTGGTCATGATACTTGTATTGACACTGACCTCGTCTTGCAAAATCTTTAGCTATCCGCTCTCCCATCGCATCCACACAGCCAAAGGCTACCCACTTCGAGCTCCGAATGGCTCCTCGGTGATTATTTACGGCTACAATACTGGATTGAAAATTGTGTGGAGAGGAGGAAAAAGGTTCGCAGAACTAAAGCCGACTGGGCCCCAAGCGAAGGCGAAGCCTGTAGGAAACAATACGGATCCCGATTCAGTCATGATCATTGACTCCGACGACGAAGAGGAACCCGAACCAGCAAAAGAAGATCCCGTGGTTGAATTCAACCTGGAGGAGAGCGAGGTTGACCCCGCTGCTCCGTACGAAGAGATTCTGCGACAAATTGATATTCCCCTTGGAAGCCGTGTGCTGGATGTGGCGGTACCTCGAGTCCTCCCCGAGGAAGCTCGCTCGCCTTTAGACCCCTTCCCACCTATCCTGAGGAACACAATCGTTGTGTCTGTAGTTTGTTCCGACCTGTCGACAAAAGTTGTGACTCTGCCCCTTGTGCCTCCTCACCCTACGCAGACGGATTCAAAGAGCTGGCGCATCCAAACCCTCTCTGTCGATGGCGCCACCACTCATCAAGATATTCCACGTGGTGTATCCATCACATTCACCTGTCATGAATTTGAGGATGAGCAAGACCAGCGCAAGTCGCGGGGCCGATTTGGAAACTTTGGTAAATGGGATCTGCTTGTGGCCACGCATTCTGCAGAGGGATGTGGTGCGCTGTTACTGCACCGAATTCCAATCCGCGAGGAATCCTCTTTCCGTCTTGTGGAAGAAGATATCATCTCTCAACGGCGCCTCTTGCCAGCACCTGCACAATCGATTGCCTTTAACCCATCAACATGGCCATCCGTCCGCCATGCCAACCTGCTTGTTGCATTCCACAGTGGATGTGTCAAGATTTATTCCTGCTTTGTCAAAAAGGCCTCAAAATCCTCACGGCGGGCTTCAATGCCGCAGGAAGATTATGAAGCTATCGACACGGAAGGTCGCTGGTTGATCAGTCTGTACCCCGGCTTTGAGCAAGGAGCCACCGGGCTTCCCCGACGGAAGAGAATCATTGATGCCGACTGGGTGCTAGGCGGCCGAGCAGTGATGGTGCTTCTCGAAGACGGTGAATGGGGCGTATGGGATATTGAAGGCGCCGGTCCTGGTGCTGTTAAGGGCCCGCTGCACCGTCAGACGAGTGTCCAAGGCGTGACTGGCGGTTCATTGACGGCATACGCTGTCTGTGGCCGTATCATGACGCCGCTTTCCAACACCAACTCCGAAACAGAGCAGCGATCCCGATTCGCGCCTATGACACCATCCACAAGGCGTGTACGCGAAGATGGGTTGCTGAAAGGATCTATGAGCACAGCAAGTCCGTCCCACCGCGGCCAAATCTCTGTCTTGCAGACAAATCCATCCCCAGATGTGTTGCCGGATGAGTCGATCCTGCTCCGTCACGGCCGCCAGAGCGCGGTCATCCCGAGCTTATTGTCTCTGTGGCGCAACGCTGTCAAAGCCACCGGCACTTTTGATTCCTCAAACCGATGCCGCGTTTCTCCTTTCCAGGACGTGAATTTGATGGGCCAGAACTTCCAGGCAATCGGACATCTACCTGCACCAACACGCCGATCCCGGCAAGCAGAGCGGCAAGCCTTCGATGTACTCGTGGCAGCAGAGCACCAGATCATGATTCTCGCTCCGAGGTTGACAGAATCCGTTGAGGAGAGCCTTCCTGTAGTGAAGCAGGAAGAAACAGAAGAGACCGACCAGCTGATGCTCCGACGAGGCGAGCTGGATGTGGAAGGAATGGGTCGTCTACTGAATGGTATGGCCAGCGGAAGCGCGTCTATGCGCATGGGCAGCCCTGTGAAGCGGACTCGTGTTTTCGCCTGATCTCAGTCATAGTCTACTAATACCCATACTCCAAGTTTTTCGCTTCTGCTGTTCTCTCGTTCTGCTCACTCATAGGATACTATTCGCGCTGTAAGGTGGAGCGCAAGGCGAGATCCATGCCTTGAAATTCCTTCTTTGGAAGTGAATAAGCTCTGTATCAGATGCGATATATCAATGACCATCCCAAAAAGTGCTATGCACGAGCCCTAATATTGCAATTGAATGTTGCAGCGCAACATTCCGTTGCAATTCTCGTATTTGGCTTTGGAGTTCCATCTTCGTCTCTGTTCTACCACGGATATCGATCTGTCTCTTGACGAATCTACATCGACGGCCGCTGTAGACAGAGGAGGGGATGGCTGAAGTTGGATGCGGGTGACCATGGGAATGATGGGACATTTCAGTTAGAAAACGTAGATTTGTATGTGTTACAATTGTACATTATCATGACTTTTTGTACTATATTCATAACAGTATTTCTGGTGTTAATTTACTCCTTAACCAAGCATAGTGCAGCAAAGAGCCCGTCTATAGAGACCGATGCTGGCCTTCCTTCAACAACCCACGGTCACCACCACCGCCCTTCTGCCACAACCAGATACCCTCAACTGCCCATGCAGCAGCACTAGCATGACGACCAACACCGGACGCAAGAGGCAAGTTACCGCCCTCCTCATCTTTCGTATTCTTGCTCTTGTCTCTACCCTGGGTCTGACCAGCAGCGCCATCGGCCTCGGCAAGCATACCAGCAACAATGCCCTCCTTTTCAATAACAAACCATAGTCCATCGGACAGCTGCCCGCCCCGTTCTCCAAACTCAGCTCGACCGAGACGGAATAAAATCCGACCGATGACCTGCCACGCAATGCATCGCTGAGCGGGGAACGTCGAGCGTGACAGAATCGCCAGCTCGGGGATCGTGTAGCCCGCGGCATGCGGATCCTCGCCGTGATGGTGCAAGCCCATGGTTGTCGGGAGGGAGAGGGATGTTTCGGGAGCAAGAATGGTGCCTCTTAGCGAGAAGCGGATTGCGGAGGGCGCCATTGAGATGGCGTTGCTGGCTGGATGGTAGGCCGACGTCGAGTCTGGGTCTTCTTCGTCGGCTGAGAGGGGCTGCAACCAGGAGAGCGTTGATGGGTCTTGGGCTATCTCGGGGAAGTAGTGTGACTGGAGATCTGATAGGAAAGACGGTGAAGATGGGTCCAGGACTGGCATTGGCGCTGTTGGCTGGGGGAAGTGGAAGGTTTCGATAGTAGCTGGGTCAAGGGAAGGCCGTTCGGAGGCCGGGTGGAGATCTTCTGGGAGGGAGGGTGGAGCGAGATCTTCATTACGGGGATGCGGCTTGGGTGATGGTTTTGGTATAGAATGAGATTGTGCGCTTGGTGCAGGAACCGGTGCAGACGGAGGAATGTCGAACGAAACGGATTTTTTGGGTTTGGATGTTTCGTCGGCCGCAGGTGCCGGTTCAAATTTGGACTTTCGATCCTCTTCGATGTTTGCTCTTCGTAGAAATCGTTCCAGAAGTCCTGGATCCATCTGTTCCATCAACTCCTCTCGCTCCTGTTGGATCTGCGCGTCCGACATGGCCGCCAGCTGACGGCGGTTCTCTTCGTCGATGGATTTCTTTTCATCTTGGACGGTCGGTTCAGTCGGGGCTGCAGCTGGGGGAGTGGACTGGTTTGCTCGTCGCTGTTTGAAGGAGGAGGGTTTGCGCTGGCGAGGGGCAGGGAATCCAGTCGATGAGGTCGGCAGTTTAGGAGCGGGAGGAATGGCGTTGGAGGGGGCCCGTTCTTGGATCTCGCCGACGAGAGAGAATGGAGAGGGGACTTCTGGAGCACCAGATTCCTCATCCAGGTCGAGAACGAAGCGTTCACCGCGAAAAGCCATGATGCGTAAATAAGGTGAAGAGAGGAAAAAAAAGTTATGTCAGCGCGGGGGGAGATCCAGCATGCGGCTCCCAAAGCTAAAATGGGCCTGCAGAACAGACTAACCATAATAGGCTAGTTGGAGAGAGCGGGTGTGCTAGTCCCAATTGGGTTCCTCACATTGATCCGGAGCATCTATGTTGTATACAGCTCGCATCGATCTTTCTACGCTACATATTATGGGTTGGATACTGATTGAGCCATTCAAATTGATTGGTATAGAAAGAAAAATTTGGTCTTTTTAAGCCCTTGAGTGAAAAGTCCTTTATGAACGTCGAAGTCGCTATCTGTCGTACCTATCATAAACTTCCACGGGAGTACACAAGCAGGATGAATACTATGATGACCTGTATTATGTATATAATAATAGGAGGTCTAAGTCAGACTTACATATATAAGCCTCAAAATATGGTGAGCACCTGATCTGAAGAACACATGTAAACGAAGCCCTGTATCAGGTACGGAGTACACCTTAAGGGTTCTAGCCTAATCCGCTGGAGAGAGTACGGAGTAATGGAGATGAGATGTCCAATACTCAACAATGACCTCAGTAAATATATAATTCTACAGTATTGTAGAGACATTAGCACTATGATATCTCTCTGCAAGATAGTAATTCAAGTAATTCCCCCATATATCCCAAGTACTATAAGAACTTGACAATATCAAATTGCAGGTTATCCCAGTACTTTGCCTTTGTAATGTGCTTTTAATTCCAATCTGCTTGCTTTCTCTCTCTCTCCCCTTTCTTCCCTTTTTTCCTTTTTTTCCTTCTTGTTCTTCTTTCTCCCTTTCCTTATTTCTGCTCTCTGTCTTCTCCCGACATTTTCCCCTTCTCCCCTTCCGCGTCCCTCTCTTTTTCTGCTTTTCCCGCGTTTTCTTCATTTCTCTCTTCACCATCTTATCTTTCTTGTGTTCCTCTTCTCCCAACCTCTGTTGCCGACCTAATACCGACACGTTTCACCACTCTCATCTCCCATCTCGATTTTGGCCAAATTCCTATCAACTTGTCAATTTTCAATTTTCAATTTCCAATTGTGATTTTTTGCCAAACTATGTCGGATCCTCCTAATATGAGTTTACCCAAACAAGAAGGGCCCATTGACGCCGATGTCAAACCCGACACAGGCGCCCGACGTGCTTCCGGTACCGCCAGGCGGTCGCGTCGTAAGAAGGATGACGACTCCGACAAGAACAAGAAGGACAAGGAACCAAAAGAAGCTAAGGAAAAACCGGCCCGAGCTCCTCGTCGCCCACGAGAGAAATCAAACAACACGGCTTCTCGGAAAAAACCCAAACTGGAACCTGCGGAAACGAGGGCCCCGGTAGACGCCCGAAGCCCTCCACACGCCCCTGCAACGCCTCAACCTGCTCAACCCGCTCAACCAATCCAACCAACTCAAATAGCTCAACCTCCTCAACCTCAGCCTCAACCTGCTCCAACTTCATACTCAAGCCCACACCCCCCTACAGCTCCGGGGGCTTCTTATCAGCTGTCGCAACCCTCTCGCCCGCAATCGCATTCGCAACCTCCGGTGCCGCAACCACCGCCCCAACGAACCAGCGGACAAAACTTCGACCCTATTCGCTCTGCGTTTGACAATCCATCACCAGCACCATCATATAGTCCTCCTGCTCGCGCAATCTCTCCTCACAATGGTTATCGTGCCAGTGCATCGCCAGCGATCTCAAGTATCATCGACCCACCAGGCCAGAACTCCCAACCATTATACAACACGCTTCAACGCTCTTCCTCTGGCCATGTGCCCGGCCTCTCTTCGCCGGGACCGCCTGCAATGGTTGCCACACCCTCACACCTGTCCTTAGCACCATCGCCCCTTCCTATTTCGTCTGCTTCCCGTGGAGCCATACACATCCCGCAGGCCATGTCGCAGTCCACCCCCTACACCACCCCATACCCACCTACCGAGCAGCGTCCAACCCCCTCACAGACTCCTAAACTTGAACCATCTCCGCCGGCAGTGCGCCAACCTCAACCTCCTGCGCAACCCGAGCCCACTGTCCGGCCGACTCCGCCCAGGCAACAACCAACCGAATCAATGGAGATCGACTCCACGGAGCAGGCCGCACCCAGCGCCAAAAAGGAAAAGAGCACACCTACTGCCCCGGCATCAAAGGCCTCATCTCCTAAGCCAACTCGACCTGCCAAAGAAGCCCCTCAGCTGCCTCAAGGATCTGGCTTGATCACAAACGCGCTATTCGGAGGAGACGATTCTGCAAAGTCCCCCGACTCGCGCAGCACGCCCAGCATCATCGTTCATGTTCCGCTACAGAAGGGCAACCAGATCGTCAACTTTGCACGTCTTGCAGAAGAGCAATATGGCTTCGCGGCCTTGCACCCTCGTCTGGCCGCCCATAAAGCGCGCATGGCTCGTGTGGCAGCTGCCGGGGCGGCGTTGGAACGAAATGATAAGAATGCCAAGGGAATCTCCGCCGGCGAGAGTGCTGACGAGGATCTGAGTCTCGATGCGGAACGCGATAGTGATATGGATGGCGATCTTCCCATGGGTGGTACAGGGGCAGGAACCAACGGTGCGCCCTCGGAGGCTAGCGATGGAAAGAAGAAGCGACGCAGGAAGGTTGAGGAATATGACCGTGATGATCCATTTGTGGATGATACCGAAATGGTGTGGCAGGAGCAGGCTGCTGCCAGCAAGGACGGGTTCTTTGTTTACAGTGGGCCATTGGTTCCGGAAGGAGAAAAGGTCCAGGTGGAACGGTATGTCTACCCACTACCCTCTCACTACGTATTTACTAATTATTTGCAGCGCCGACGGTACAATCAAGCGCGGCCGTGGCCGTGGCCGAGGAACAGGTCGGAGTCGGACTGTGACCTCGCACCCTCACGTTCCCATTGCAGCTGCTGTGCCCGTCTCCCAAGATACTGGCCTGCCATTGCGTGGGCCCGGCTCTCGGGGCGGCACCTCACGCCGTCCGCGAGGCAACAAGAAGACCGATGGCGGCAGCGACCGCGCTGCTACCACTGCATCCGCTGCCCATGAAAGCCGTGGTGGCCGTGGTGGCGGCACAGGGACCTCTAACCGCGGTGGAACTAACAGCAATCGGGGTGGCAAGTCGTCTATATCAATCCCGATGCCAGACCTTGCTCCTGCGCCATCAACCCAGGGTGTTGCCCATGGACCCCCTGCTCCCAGCCCGCTAGCTGGCCCAGAGCTCATGATGAAATAGAGAACATGCTGATTGGTTTGTCATGGTGTTTGTTTGGTGTTCGGAGCTTGATGACTTTGTTTTATTCATTTGCGCTATCACTTTGCTGGGTTTGACTTGCCCCTGTTACATGTTTTCGGTCTCGAGAAACCGTTTGCTTAACAAATGAGCTCTCTATGTATACCTCGGTTATGTTATTACGGTTGAATATATCGATTCTCAGCCATTCAAGAGTTCATGCTTTCAATGAAACACTCTGTCTACACCATCCTTAGCCTCAGGTATTAAGTCTGCTGTAGCGTTATCAGTTTCGTTGATTCTCTCTATTAGACAGTACAGTACATATGTAGTGTTTCATGTTTTATGTTATGAAACAATATGCCCCTATAGTCTATGAAACAAACCTATTGTACAGCTCATGAAGTAAACAGGTGCCTAAATAAATATGTTACATACAAAATGTACATCAATATACAGGAGAGCCAATACTCAAACGATATATTCACTGATCTGTTCTATATTTATCTTGTCAAGTAGTTAACTACTTGTGTTATAGACTTGGCCCCCAGCCTCGAGCCGCCTTCACACCATTGAGTTAACCAATAAGTACAGAGAACAAAAGGGACCATGCTCATTCGCTATAAAGAAGCGCCAGTTGAAACGGTTGAACTATTTGCTGCGCCCATAGCGCTTTGCTTTTTATATACAGATCCCCGCGCAAGATCAACATGGCAGCCACTCGACTTGAGAGCCATTCGCAGAATGCAGATATTTCACAGCAATTGTACATATCCTCCGGGGACCGCAGGCTTTGTTACCTCGCCGAATACCCGAGGGACTCTAGATATTGTCTGGTCTTGCCTCAGCGTGATAGGCCTCTGCACTTGGTCTATTCTCCATCTCAATGTCCCAATCCAGTCGACACCATCCAAGAAACGTCAGAGGTATCTGCGAACGCTTTGGCGGTTCTCCAATAAGCTCAAATGGATGATGATCAACATCCTCGCTCCAGAGTGGGTATTCGGGATGGCCTGTAGTGATATGTGCTCTGTCAGGATACTCAAGGCTCGCTTCGCAGAGTATCAAGAGAAAGATGGCGTCCCATGGTCTGTCTCCCATATACACTATGCCAACATGGGTGGATTCCCTATTCAATTTGCGGACTCCGATCCTGTAACCGATGCTCAAGAGATACCCTCTATCGAAGATCTCCCAAAGGGAATACGAACACCACAGATGCTTCAGAAGTCAATGCAGAGGATCTCGAATGCGATTGGCAAAATCGACTGGGCATTGAATAGATCCAACATCCTCGCCATCGAGAAAGCAAACAGCATGGTTTCTCAGGGCTACCGAAAGGAAGAAGGGATCTTCAACATGCCATACACGGACTGGGTTGGAAACCTCACTCTTCTTTGTGGTAATCGGTGGGTGGTAGACGCGAACCAGCTCCTTCTTGCCCGTGAGCTTGGAATCATCGAAAAACTGCCCTATGTGTCGCATGATTCCCTGGATGACCATAGCAATGGCGATCTCGTCGTCAAGATGTTAGCTGTACTTCAAATTTCGTGGATGTTCATCCAGCTCGGCGGGCGACTAAGCCAAAAGCTCCCAACAAGCCAGCTCGAGATTTCCACCCTCTCTTTCGCAATTTGCTCTTCGATCACGTATATCATGTTGATCAATAAGCCCCAAGATGTCCGGACATCATATACTGTCAAAGCTGTCAGACATCCCTCCGCAGAAGACTTGATCTACATGGCCAATGCTGGCCCGCTGGGCTCCGGTCCCAAATACAGCAGCGTCTGGATCCCCAATGATGCAACCCACAGAGATGTGCTGAGGAAAGTACCGGGATATGTGAGGAGTATGGCTTGCTTGTTTGCTCTGCTTCTGTTTGGTGCTGCCCATTGCGTAGCATGGAACTTTGAGTTTCCTACAGCCCTGGAGAGACTATTCTGGCGTCTGAGCTCGGTTGTAACGGGTGTTGCTATGCCATTTGCCTATCTACTTGATCAAATCCTGGGCCCAGTTTGGTTGAAGGTGTTTAAGGTGGAAAGCCAACCAAGGATACTAGAATTGGTTGAGAGAGCTTTGATGGTCCTTATTGTGGTCGTGTTTGTTCTGGCGAGACTGTTTATAACAGTTGAGGTCGTTCGCTCATTGGCCTTTCTTCCCCCAGGTGCGTTTATAAGTACCTGGACAGCGAATATCCCACATGTGGGTTGAGTGCGGAATCTGAAATCTATATTGATATAAATGTATTGGAAAGACTTATCGAAGGGACGCATATCCACATGATTCTACCGGAGTTTGAAAGAGTATGAAATTGCACTTGTTTATGTACGCCGTGTAATGCAGGAAGACATCCCAGCAGATAAAGAGTCAGAAAATGAAATAGGGTTCGTTGCCAGATATTTCAATCGAAGCAGAGTCATTGAGAAGAAAAAGGAGAAAATAGAAAGAGAGAGAGAGAAGAGATGCTCATAGATGGAAGGGAAAAAAATGTGCTGTTAGGGCCTGTCTCGGCTTCCTTTTTGCTCCATCAAGGCCGTGAATATGACAGATCAACATAGCCGGTAAGGAGATAGTCCACAATCCTCAAAGCCGAGTGTGCACGTACATCTGGACATAGACACAATGAAAAGAAAAGAAAATAGCACGAATATGTATCCGAGTACATTGTCTATCCATTACCCAATTACCGGGGTGTAGTTCCTGGTTGGATGCGCCAGTTTCCACCCGTTGAAACAGGCGGTGGGGAGGCGGGCCAGTCGGAGGCGCGGCGCGGATAGGCATCGTCGTGGAGTGCAGGTTCGTACGGGGATTGGAGTTGTTGGAGCTGGCGGAGCGAGGACTCATGAATGGGTGAGATGGGGCATCGATAGCAGAAGCAGGCTCGTTGAGGTGCTGGCGCATCGCGCGACGACCGGATCGGCTGTTATCGTCATTTGATTCCAGCGAGAGGTGCTCCAGAGAGGGAGGTGGTGGAGACCGCGTGGTTCGGGACGAGGACGACGAGTAGTATTGGGGCTGGGATTGGGGGTAGTAACGGTGGCTGGATGGGACCTCGTTGGCGATCTTTAGAGGGATGTCGCCTGACACTGGGTTTGACGGGAATGGTGACTGCTGTGGGGTTCGTGTTGGCTTGCTGAGGAGAGGGGGTTTGCCGATAGTGGCTGATGTGGGAGCTGCAGCGGGAGATGAAGTCGAGTTTGAAGATGGCGTCGAGCCCTCTCTAGAGAGTGATGTCGGTATTGGTGGTCCCAGGTAGGATTTGCGCTTTTGTTGATCCATCATGCTCGTTGCCCATCCTTCGAGGTTGACTGGTGTGCGCTTCGCGGCCTGCAAGAAGGCATCTTTGTCCTGGAAGGAGTTAGTGCACGTGAAAAAGTGCAGGTTCAAAAAAGAGAGATAAACATACATAAAGCTCTCGTGGGGTTGGGCGCTCCTCGGGTTTCTTCAAGAGACACTTCCCAACAAAGTCATGTAGGATAGGCGGGAAGGCATCACTCTTGGGCAACTTGGGGGCTGTTTCGTGCACAATTTGCTGGAGTAGATCCAAGATTCCCATCGGTCCTGCGCTAGCACGGTTTCCGGCAGCAGAGTCGGAGTGATCGAAGGGGAACTTTCCAACAGCCAGCTCCATGACCGTCAAGCCCACGCTCCACACGTCGGACCGGACCGTATAGGCACCTCCCTGAATTCGCTCGGGAGCCATGTATGTAGAAGTGCCAACGAATGTATCGGCAATCGAGTTAACTGTCTCGGTAGCAACGCCAAAGTCACAGAGCTTGATGTTGCCGCGGGAGTTGAGTAAGATATTGGACGGCTTGATATCACGATGCATGATGCGGTGGGTTTCATATAAGTAGACGAGACCAGCTAAGACGGACTCAGTGATCTTTCCCAGCACGTCGACTCGAACAGGGCCGAAATCTTTAGAAACGCGGTCGAGAGATCTGATTGCCCGTCAGCTATATCCTCTTTGTTTCCCATATTAGTCCACCTATTCCACCTACCCGAGATCCATATATTCCATGCATAGCACAATATCTCTCGCTTCATTTTGAAATGCACCATAGAAAGTGACAATATTGGGGCAATTGCAGTCGTGCCCGACTCGAAGTTCTCGTAGAATCTGTTTCCGCACGTTCTCTTTGGCCTCCACACGGATAATCTGCGGGGGACGAGGAAATTAGAGCTGACCAACAAATAGAAACACACAGTACACAATACACACCTTTCGAGCCATCACCACCTTGGTGGATGCGTGCATCACCTTGGAAACAGTACCTCCATTTCCAGCGCCAAGTTCTTTCAATGTGACCAGGTCTTCACTGCGAAGATCGAGGCGAAACTCCAGTCCGATTTCGAGCGTATCTGTGGTATTGACCTCGCTACTCCCAACAGGCCCCTGGGCCTGTGTATCGCCATCGGTGGTGTTGGAGGTGGGTTTAGGGGCTGCATTGAGAGCGAGACCTTTGACATTCTTGCGTTTCAACGTCCGAGCCTGGAACTGGTCCGCCATGGCGCTTAGTTGGGAGTTGGAGTTGCACAAGGGGAAAGTTGTGAAAGAAAGAAAATGAGAGAGCCCAGCGGCCTGAGTGATATCAAGTCCGCGTTACCCAAGGCGATGGGATCAGAGTGGTCAGAACGAACCCCCGAGCTAACAGCGGGGAAGTCGATATCACCTTGCGATGTTCTTGGCGACGCTGATTGGGCCTTGCGGGCGCGTCGATTCGACCAACTATGACCCAAAATGTGCCGGTCGGCGCCAAACAGAAGTATGTTGGATTTTTGGATTTTTCTTTTCTACGAGTATTATGGGAGGAAGGAAATGAGAGATGATCTTGAAGAACTATGAAGGCCACTACAATGAAACAACAGGTGTTTCGGGGGTTCCACCAGTCTTTTGGGGCTAGCTTTGGGTACTTGTGGCTTTAACACAAAATTTATGGGTTAAGGCTATGAGTGATAGATAATGTTCAAAATTTGCACATATTCGATAGTATTTGATAGTCTCGGCCGTGCATTAATAGTACAAAACGATATGCATATTGAGGATCTGACCAGGGCATCGTTGAATGTCCAATGTCCGAAGCACACACAAAGATAATGGCACGTGACATGACTGGGTCAAGCCACAATTAGGTTACCTCAATAGGATTAGCGTCTAGCCACACCAGCACTAGCCAATCACCGCCACATCCTCTCCTCGCCGATGGCCGTGATTCTTCCTCTTGACAACTATTGCTTCAATTTCACCCTCCCTGTTTCACCTTTGACCGTCTTAACGAGCTGCGTACTACCTGGTGTCGCATCTGCGCTATTGCATCTTGAATCTTTCATCCGAAACCGCATTCTCCACGGTCCCTAGCAATAGGGATCTTTAGGTCAAGATGAGCCTTCGCGACCTGATCGAGGGTGAGGCGGTCATGGATGACGAAGATGAGGAAGTCGCCGACGACTACGATGCCGAGGGCCGCCCGGATCCACATACCAAAAGCCACTACAATGACTCGAGCGAGGAGGAAGACGAAGAAGAAGATGACGAGGAGGCTGCTCGCGCCGTCAGTTTCGACCTTTCACCGGGTTGTATTTCTTCGCTGACAAACTATTAGGTCCGCGAAGGGTTCATTGTCGATGAGGATGAAGAAGATGAACGTGCCGCTCGCAAACACAGGAAACGTCCACGCGCTGCTCGCGAAGAAGAGCACCTTGATGAAGAAGATCTGGAACTCATTGGACATGGTCCAAGTCAACATCGTGGACCAGCCACTGAGGTATGTAAGCTCCAGTTCATCACTCGACAAGCTTCTGATGCTCTGATTAGTCAAAGTTTAAGCGCTTGAAGCGAGGCAAAGATCGCGAGAGCCACCAACCGTCTCACGGCGTCGATGACATTTTCAACTCGGACGAGGAGGAGGAAGCGCAACAATATGCTAGGCCAGGCCAGCGCCGAGGCCTGCGCGATGAGATGGACGACTTTATTGAAGAGGATACCTTCTCCGACGATGAAGCCCAGCGCGAACGGGATGACCTTGGGGTTGCGCCTGCCTCCAGAGTCAACAAGACCGGTTTGATTCCGACTGATACTTCGGGCTTGGACGAAAATGCACTTGAGGATATGCGCGCTGCATTCGGTGATGGCACAGAGTACGATTTCGCACTGCAAATGGAAGACCAAGAAGAGGCCGACAAACAAACCGAAGAACGTCACCTAGACTTGAAGGACGTCTTCGAACCATCCGAGCTGGCCGAGAGGATGTTGACGGAGGACGATAACGAAATTCGTCTCCTCGATGAACCCGAACGCCATCAGGTTGCTCGCAAGCCCTATAAGCATGTGACATTGTCCGAGGATCAATTCCGGGAGGAGGCAGTCTGGATCTCAAACTTGATGTTGCTCAAGAAGCGCATGGATCCCGAACTGCGTGAACCATTCCAGCGGTCCGTCGCTAAGATGTTGGAATTCCTGATCACGGACGACTGGGAAGTGCCCTTCATTTTCCAGCATCGCAAAGACTACATGATTCATGCTGTCAAAGATATGGCTAATGGCGCTGATGCCGGCGACGACTCTGCCCAATACAGCATCCGCGCCGAGAAACTCCTCAATATGACCGATCTATGGGATATCTTCGACCATGATCTGAAATTCCGCGCTTTGATCGACAAGCGTGGTACAATACAAAAGACATACGACAACTTGCAAAGTATCTTCAATGTGACTGATTCCAACGTCGAGGATCAGCTTTTTGCGGCCGCGACCATGGAGGAACTCCAAGATGTGCAGGACTATATCCATTTCCAGTACTCCTCACAGCTACGTGATCTCAACCAGGTCAATGGGGAGGCTAATGGAGAAACCCAACGTCGAAAAGCCACTGGCAGGTCTTTCTTTGAGCGGGTTCGAAACGGCAAGGCTTATGGCTTTGTGCGTGCTTTTGGCATCACTGCAGATGCGTTTGCTCAGAATGCCTCAAAGGAGGGTCGCCGGCAATACACTGAAGATCCCACTGAGCAGCCCGAAGATTTGGCAGATCAGTTTGTCGACAACGACTTTTCCAACAGTTCACATGTTCTCAAAGCCGCTAAGTCGATGTTCGCCGAAGAGCTTACTGTCAGCCCTAAGATGCGCAAGGTAATGCGACAGGCATACTACATGAACGGAGTCGTCGATTGCTTCCGCACAGAGAAAGGACTTCGCCGGATCGATGAGCAGCACCCTTACGCCGAGTTCAAGTATCTGCGGAACCAGCAGCTAAGCGATATTGCCCGTCGCCCAGAGATGTTCTTGCGCATGCTCAAGGCCGAGGAAGAAGGTCTCGTTGATGTTCGGGTGCGGTTTGAAAACTTTGACCAGTTCCGTACACGTCTCTATGCCGATATTGAGTCAGACAACTACAGTGAGCTTGCTGATGCTTGGAACCGTGTTCGCCGTGAGGTGTTGGATCTGGCTCTGGGCAAACTGGAGAAGTTGATCAATCGCAGTGTAAAGGAAAACATTCGACAGGAATGTGAGAACCATGTGGCCAAGGAGTGCCGCGAAGCGTTCTCGCAACGTCTCGATCAGGCCCCTTACAAACCCAAGGGCATGGTCCTGGGCACCGTGCCCCGTGTTCTGACTCTATCCACCGGATCTGGTCAGGTGGGCCGGGACCCCATTCACTGGGCTTACACAGAAGAAGATGGCCGTGTCTTGGAGAATGGCAAGTTCATTGATCTTTCGGTAGGAGATGAAGCCGTGGTATTGCAGACGGTGAAAACCTGGCCGCTTTTGTGGATCTGGTTGATCGTCGTCGACCAGATGTCATCGGTGTTTCAGGCATGACACCCGAGACGCGCCGACTTTACAAGCTTCTATCCGAAATTGTCGACCAAAAAGACCTCCGTGGTGCATCCTACACAAATGAGCACGATGAGGAGATCAGCGATACCTTAGAGGTGGTCATTGTCAATGATGAGGTTGCCCGGTTATACCACAACAGCCCTCGCGCTAGAAGCGACAATCCAGGCTTTGGACCTTTGACCCATTACTGTGTGGCTCTAGGCCGGTATTTGCAGAGCCCGCTCAAGGAATATGCGTCCTTGGGCCGTGACATTGTGTCCATCCAGTTCAAGCCAGGCCAGCAACTAGTCTCCCAGGACCTGCTTCTCAAGCAGCTGGAAACCGCCCTGGTGGACATGGTCAACTTGGTCGGCGTTGATCTCAACGAAGCAGTGGCCGACACGGCGACAGCTAATCTCTTGCCGTACGTCTGCGGCCTTGGTCCCCGAAAGGCGGCTCATTTGCTCAAGATTGTCAATATGAACGGCGGAATCGTTAACAACCGGGTGGAATTGCTTGGTGTCAACGCGACATACCCGGCTATGGGTGTCAAAGTTTGGAACAACTGTGCTAGTTTCGTCTACATCGACTTCGAGAACGCTGATCCCGATGCCGATCCGCTGGATAACACCCGTGTTCATCCTGAAGACTACGATATCGCGCGCAAGATGGCTGCTGATGCTTTGGAGTTGGACGAGGAAGATATCAAGGCCGAGACCGATGAGAACGGCACTGGTGCTATCATGCGGAAGCTGTTCCGGGAAGAGGCACAAGACCGTGTCAATGATCTTATCCTGGAGGAGTACGCAGAGCAGCTCGAGAAAAACCTTAACCAGCGTAAGCGTGCCACCCTTGAGACGATCCGAGCCGAGTTACAACAACCATACGAGGAATTGCGCAAGCACTATGTCTTCCTCAGCACCGATGATATTTTCACAATGCTCACTGGCGAGACGCCCGACTCTTTAACACCTGGTATGGTGGTGCCTATTGCCATCAAGCGGGTATTTGAGGATCACATTGAGGCCAAACTGGATTGTGGAGTTGATGTTCTCGTGGCCGAGACCGAACTCGGTGTTCCCTACGACGTCCCTGTACGCAACGTATACCAAGTCCACCAGACAGTCCCGGCCAAGATCTTGTTCTTGAACCGCAAGGGTTTCTCCTGCAATGTCTCTCTACGTGAGGATCAAGTTAGTCACCCATCTCGTCGGAGCCAGGAACATGGCTTCGGGGATTGGGACGAACAGCAGGAGCGAGCCGACAAGGAATCGTTGCAGGAGAAGACGCAGCGTGGAGGCCAAGCCATGCGTGTCATTAAGCACCCGCTTTTCCGGCCGTTCAACTCCACCCAGGCGGAGGAGTTCCTAGGCTCTCAAAGCCCAGGTGACGTTGTTATTCGCCCGTCCTCCCGAGGCCACGATCACCTAGCTGTCACTTGGAAGGTGGCGCAAGGTGTGTACCAGCACATTGATGTTCTGGAGCTGGACAAAGAGAACGAGTTCTCTGTCGGTCGTGTCCTCAAGGTCGGCGGTCGGTATACCTACAGCGACCTGGATGACCTGATCGTCAATCATGTCAAAGCGATGGCCAAGAAGGTGGGCGAGATGATGTTCCACGAGAAATTCCAAGAAGGCAGCAAGACTGAGACAGGTATGTTTTTGGCGATTTTATCCAACTGTCATTCAACTAGCATCTAACTAACATCCAATAGATCAATGGCTTGAGACTTATACCAAGGCCAACCCCCGTCGCTCGGCATATGCATTCTGCATTAACGCCAAATACCCCGGTTACTTTTACCTTTGCTTCAAGGCAGGCGAACATGCACGACTTCAGAACTGGCCGGTCAAGGTGATTCCACAGGGCTACGAGCTGCAGAAGAACCCCTACCCGGACATGAATGCTCTATGCAACGGCTTTAAGCTGATGTTCAGCAACATGAGCAAGGGCGGCCGGAGATGAGTGGTCCTCGTCTGTACAGTGTACTATCTATTCCAAAAAGCTCCCAAAATCCCAGGAAAAGATGGGACGGCATTTCCTACTTTCTTCTTTTTTTTTTTAATTTGATACACCTTTGGCATCGGGCATGTAAACATTAACAATGAATTTCAAGCGATTTATGGAGTTATCTAAAGAATTTATAACTACATATGTACAGATGTAGGCTGTATGATGTAGGACTGTATACTATGTTGAAACATAGACGGGAGAGAGAGCCTGATAGGGAGATCTACCATGTGAACCCATCAGCCTCGGTTTCAACCTGTTCCACTTTCAACCTCCCCCCTCTCTTATTTCCTTGTATTCCCTCGTATTCCCTTGTTTAATTAAATCTCACCCCGGATGTTCCTGTGACATCAATTGTATAACTAGTGTGGCTTGTCCCCCGCATCGCCACGTTCAGCCGCACCGGACCGCGACGGATACATTGCGGTTCTTGCAACCCCTCTCTGCGCAATTATGGCGGCCATGGAAGAGCTGGAGATTCACAGCAAGGTAGGGCTTGTTACAGCAAAAGACTTGGTCTCAACTAATCTCTATAGTCGTACTTTGTACGTTGGATCAATGTCAGCGCCAACCACACCATCTCTTGGAGTATTCAACCGCACAAGAAGTCTGTCAACTTTGGCCTCTTCAAACATCCCGGTCAATCCTCTGCCCTAAGCTCCCATATTCCTAGCTCCGATTCACAGAGCACCGATTCTACCGAGAACCTCCCCGCGACGGCGACGACTGCCGGCACGCGGCAACAACAATCTGCCGTTATCGAGAAGCTGACGGGAATTGGGCTCAAAACAATCAAATGGACGGGCAAGTGTGAGGCAGACAAGATCACCCAGGGGACATACGATGTGCCATTCAGTGAAGGAGGCAACTATGCCCTTGTTTTCGATAACACATTCTCCAAACAAATCTCCAAGACCTTGACACTTGTCCTCCTCACCTATCCGACCGGCCTTCAGCCACATAGCTCCGCATCCATCGCCACACGCTCTCAGCCAGGGGCATCGACCGAATCGCTGCCGCAGCCCAAGACCCGCCGACGAGGCAACAGTCGAGCCACGCTCAACTCGCAGCAAGACGTATCGAACCTAAGTGTCCACACGGGAGTGCTGCAGAAACGGCGACGGAAACGTCACCAGGGTTGGGCACGTCGGTTCTTTTCCCTGGACTTTACCTCGAGCACGCTGTCCTACTATCATGATCGCAACTCGTCCGCACTGCGAGGTGCGATCCCGCTCTCGCTGGCGGCCGTCGCGACCAACGAAAAGTCCCGTGAGATCTCTATTGATTCAGGTACTGAGATCTGGCATTTGCGCGCCAATAACGAGCATGAATTCGCCGCGTGGAAGGGTGCCCTCGAGAGAGCTTCCTCCAAGGAAGATTCTAAGGACGAACGCAAGGCTGGTCTAGCTGCCCCTCCGGAGCTACGGCTTTACGCTCCATCGCAGCCCTCCCCGGCGGAGGAGAGTGAATGGACTCGCGTTGAGAGCCTTGTCGGCCATATTTCTGGATCGCGAGATGCGATACGCCGGCTCGCCAAGGATACAGACCCCAAGTATCTTGCCTCGCCTCTCCCAACCCCTATCGACCGGCCTCGTTCGCGTGGCCGGTCTCCTAGCCCCCAACGCAGCACTCATGAGACTGCTCCCAATGAGGCGGAGGCCAAGCGGCCGTTCTGGAAGCGCAAGACAAGTGGACAGTCGAATGCCAACAGCAAGCGACCACCGGCCATGACCACGAACTCCGGTTCTTCGCAGCTTGTGGTGCCTGCTACTGACGGCAAGGGGAAGCCTGCCAGTGTCATTAGTCACATAGACAGCGTGGATGAGATCCATGACCATTTGATGGAGGTACTGCGCGATCTTGACAATGCGGTCTCCGAGTTCTCCATGCTGATTGCCGAGAGCAAGGAGCGACGGCACCCGCCTCAGCCATCTATGGTTCCCCGGCGGAGCATGGAGTCTGACATGTCGCAAGAATTCTTTGATGCAACAGATGGAGATGGTGACAGGTCTCCCCTCTTGACCATCCAAGACAGCGACGACGAAGGGCCCGAAGAGGACCGGCCTGTCTCTGCTGCCGAGGAAGTCGAGGATGACGCCCCTCCCGACAGCGATGGTGAATCCGACACGGCGGCAACTCGCCAGGATAGCAGCATCGCTTTTGGTCTGTTCCCAGTTAAACCCAAATCGTTGATCCCGCTGCCCCTGAGACCCCGTAAAACGCCGTGCGAACATCCTCGCCCCGACAGTCCTGCCCCCGAGTTTGATTGGGTTCCTGCGCAAGAACGTCGGAAAGGACTTGTCCACCATCTCGATGCCGGTGTCGGCAAACGAGCCCATGTCTCTCCTTCAACGCGCCGCCGAGGTCCTGGAGTACTCAAATCTGCTTGACCAGGCCGCCCAATCCACAGACCCCGTTGAGCGCCTGATGTACGTAACCGCCTTCGCAGTATCCTCCCTCTCAAGCAACCGCGTCCGTGAGCGCTCCATCCGCAAACCATTCAATCCAATGCTAGGCGAGACCTATGAGCTCGTCCGCGAAGACCGAGGCTTCCGCTTTATCGCGGAGAAAGTCTCACATCGACCCGTGCAACTAGCCTACCAAGCCGACAGCAAGGAATGGAGCATCTCGCAGTCCCCCATGCCCAGCCAGAAATTCTGGGGCAAATCCGCCGAGATAACAACTGAAGGCCGTGTCCGCATTATCCTACACAGTACCGGCGACCGCTACAGCTGGACGCCGGCAACATCCTTCCTACGCAACATCATCGCAGGAGAGAAATACGTCGAGCCCGTCGGCGAGCTAGCCGTCACAAACGAGTCCACCGGTCACCGCTCCATTTCAACCTTCAAGGCCGGCGGCATGTTCTCCGGTCGCAGCGAGGAAGTCTCCACTCGCGCCGTCGACGCAAACAACAACCCCGTGGCCCTCGGCTTATCCGGCTCCTGGCCGTCGTCACTGAGTCTCACCCGCGACGGTAACCCCACCGGTAACACTATCTGGACCGCCGGCTCACTCGTCCCCTCCGCACCAAAGCACTATGGTCTCACCTCCTTTGCAGCCACGCTGAATGAAATCACCTCGATTGAGGATAAGCATTTGCCTGTCACGGACTCCCGTCTACGTCCTGACCAACGCGCGCTGGAAAACGGTGACCTCGACCGCGCGGAGGAGGTCAAGGTGCAGCTTGAGGAGGGGCAGCGTGCACGCAGGCGCGAGATTGAAAATGCTGGGGAGAGTTGGATTCCGCGCTGGTTTACGCGGGTTAATGATGACTCCGATGGGGAGATTGCTTGGCGGCTTAAGGGTGGGAAGGATGGATATTGGGAGGAGAGGGCTAGAGGGAGCTGGTCTAATGTTGTGCCTGTGTTTGAGGATTAAAAGACTTAGACTGGATGGTTGATGTTGGTTAGCCTTTTCGTGGTTGTTCTGTGGGTTATATTTGCCTGGACATGCGAGAGACTATAAAGAGAGATGAGCTTCGGTCTACGGGCGTGTTTTGGGCAGGGCCTTCTTCACTCTATATAAAGATAAATACGGATTTTTTTTCTTCCTTGGATCTATCAGATCTATCATTCTCTTGAACTCCTTATCGAATATCGTAAGAATGCTCAATGTGCAGTGTCATTTCGTTAGGTACAAATCGAGGCATTGAGTCACAAAAGCAAGCCGAGTGGATACAAAAACAGAGAAACATCAAAGAAACCGAAAAGAAAAAGCTCATGAAATAATCGGGGCTTGAACAAAACTGAAGCCCTCCATGTACAATAAAACCCTAAGCTGTCGTATCCCATGTCAACAATTGAAAGACTGAAAAGCATCAGATTCCTCGTTTTTATTCTTCGATTGCTGAACAATCACATATGCAACCATGCAAGGTACTCATTTACTCATCCTCATCATCGGATTGATAAGTAGTCCAGCGACGCGAGTTGCGCATTTTGGCTGCCTTGCGTGCACCTTGGCGATCCACCGAGCCGTGACCCTGGTCTGCCAAGCGCATCATGACAGGAAGACTGTTGAGAACAGAACGGTTACCCTGGAAATAGTGTTCGGAAAATCCACCCTGCAGGATACGGCGCAAAGCAGTGAGTCGCAGCCACTTCCACCAGCGGTCGATAGTCATGACTCCGTGGCGGCCAATCTTGACGGTGAGAGTGCTACCGTAGTAGCGGTTGGTGTTCTGGTTGATGGCGGTGTTGTAGCGAGGACCGCGGCGGGGGTTCTCGACAGTGGTGAGAATCGAAGCGAAGTTGCTGTGGAGGGACTTCTTGTCGCGCTTGCTGACCTGCTTGCCGTGGATGGTGGCCAGGTTCTGAAGTTGGCTCTCCAGTTCGGGAGTGTTGTGGTAAGCGTTGTATCGCTTCACGAGTTTGGGACCGGATGTGGGATCGTGGTGGTGCTCGTGCTCATCGCTGTCGTCGTTTGAATCTGCGCTTTCCTCGTCTTCGTCGTCCTCTTGGGGACTGTAGCTCTTCTCATAGAGTAAGGCGATGTTCTCGCCTGCAGCGATCTGCACGTTGGAATCAGAGCTGTCGAGCTGATCCATGAAGATCTGGACAGCTTCTTCACTTTCTGCTTCGAAGTCCTCGACTTCGGTGGCAAGGAATCCCCATTGCTGGAGCGCGGCGGTCACAATGGTGGGGTCATCTGCAGCATCGATGGATTGGCCGTCAGAGGCGATGATGTCCAGGAGGAAACCCATCTGTTCAAGGATGCCATCTTCACCGGCACCTCCGAAGATAGTGCATGCACCAAGGCAGTGAATAGCGGCTGTCTTGACAAGAGGGGAGGCGGAGTCACGGATGGTGCGGGTAAGCAAGGGCTCAGTGTTTTCGTAGACCGTGTTGTCGAAAGCCGAGATAACAAGCAATTCGATAGCGCGCAAGCCAAGACTTGCTTCGCGCACACTGATCTCGGTGCGGACGCTTCGCTCAAATGCCGCCAGTAGGTCTGGAATGGTGCCGTGGATTTCTTCCACTGTGTAGTGATATTTGGTCAGGCGGCAGAATGCTTGCAGGGCCTCCTCGCGGCCTTGGACACTGCTGCGCTTGCGATCGAGGATTTCTTGAATACGCTCGCCAAGTTCGACTTCCCAATCAGGATTATCTTGTTCCGGATTCTCATCGTCGAAAGATCCGATGCTGTCCCAATTTGGTTAGCTTGGAAAAAATGCCGACATCATTGGTGACATCATCCCGCCACGGGAGTGGGGAGCATGTGAATATACGAAAAAAAAAGGGAAAGGAAAAAGGGAAAAAAAAAAGAAGACATAAGCTGCAAGGGGTTGTATCTGCTTACCTCATAGATGTCTCATCAGAGAGGAATCCCGAGTCTTCTTCGTCCGAAGGAGCTCTGCTGGCATTGCGGGAGCCCTGACGTGAGGTCGGCTTGGAACTGGCGGGGGAGTTGGTGCGGGATGCTTCACGGGATGCTGCCTTACGCGAGACAGTCTTGCCGCTCTCGAAAATCTGACGACGTAGATCGGGCATTTTGGCTATAAGATAGTTGAAAGAGTCTCCTTGAAAAAGATGTAGTTTGCCCAGTATGGGGGAGTAAGTAGTAAGTAGTAGAAGGGATCGTAGAAAGGTTGGTTTTTTAACCTATGGGTACTGGACAATAGTCGAGGATTAGAAGAGAAATGAGTAAGTAATGGGGCATATTCTCAAAATACTGTCGAGTATAGTAAGAAGAGTAAGAAGAATAAGAAGAACAAAAGAACAAGGAAGAAACAAAGAACCTCCTAAACCCTTTTGACTCGTGACTGCGTATGTAAGCCTATCAGATGCCCGGGCCATTTTATTCAAACCAATGAGACCTTGGACATCCATTGATGCTCTTTGTTCTTTGTTCTTTGTTCTTTCTTCTGGGCTATTGTTCAACTTTCCAACCAGATATCTATTATTGTTCTGCCTATCGGATCATTATTCAGGCTATACGCTTCGAGGGCGCTACCTATGTATTCATTATTGTTCAACACATGAGTCTCTCTGCCTTGGAAGTCATATGTTTCTTACAAAATACAAAATGCACTTACCTGGTTGGTCAGATCTGATCGCTCGATCATTGGCTTATATTGGCCCCACTTATGAGGTTCCCACTTCCAAGGTGAGGCCATGACACATTAAGTATACCTAGGTAGTATCCATGGATACTGCTACAGGACCTTAGACTCAATCCTGCCATCTACGTATGAAATATACAGATTTTAATAGTGAATTTCAATAGTGAACTATGGTTTGGACATGGACTTGGACTTTGACATTACGCCTGCTAAGTTCCCTTTTATCTTTGTTCGAGGGGTATCATTATCATACATCCGAGCCGTTACAAGTTATAGCTGCTGCTTCACCAACTCGAGGATATCTTGGGCCTTGGCGCCCTCCAGATACTCGCGACCTTCCTGTCGCCATTCATCTTCCTCGTCTTCATCGTCCCCAATCTCCAGATCCACCTGCAGACTAGCATTGTAGGCACCCATAACCGTCTCTTCATCCACACGCACTCCGTTCTGTACCAAAACTCGAATAGACTGTGTCAATCGTGCAATCTCACGGCGAGTCTGTGGCGGGATATCGTCGTTCTGGCTAGAGTAGATCGAACTCGACACCATCTCTTCCATGCGCGTAATAGAGACATTCTCCGTAGTCGAGGATGCGGCATCTGCCCCTTCGGGGTTCTTGGAGATAAAAATGTACCCATTCACCCCAAGGATAATATTCACCTCACCACCACCATTGGCCGTGGGGACCGTCCACACCTGCCGACGAGACCGCACCACACCGCCAGTACCAGAACCTCCAGGAGCAGCCAAAGCGCTGCCGGAAGCCGAATTCCCAGCCCCAACACCGCCCTTAACGCTGGAGCTAGACGCTGCACTGCCTCCGGTTCCAGTAACGGCAAGGAACACGCCGTTGCGCAGCTTCCCGTACTTCAAGGACCGTGTGTGTAGTGATGCCGACCCGTCCTGGTGCACGCTCTGCACTTCAGCGACTACAAGGTCGCCTTCGCTGAAAAATGTTCGGATCTGGAGCTCGTCGGCGCTTGTTCGTCGACGCAGAATACCACCGGGCAGGTTGATTGCGGAAAGAGGGAGCTGGGCAAGTAGGGGCGCGGCGACGTCGACCTTCCACCGTCGTGATTGCACTTCGACAATGCGGCCAACGACGAGATCACCAATCTCGGGGGTATAGCGGGCCCGCAGAGGGTAAACAGAGAGCAGCTTATTTGTCTTTTGAACTGTGCCGGCAACGGTCGCAATGATAGATGTCGAGAGCGGGTTCATATAGGTGCCGTGACCTCTGTAGATTGTTAGGGTTGAAAAAAAAAAAGACAAATGACGATATGAGCCCCGCGTTTATTTTTGCGCAGCCTTCAACTTTGCACCCACCTCATCCATTGCGGATCATCTGTAACCACTTCTCCTGGTGTGACAATCCCTGTGCCAATATTCGAGTTTCCTAAACGGGGTCGTTTGTGAGGCCGAGAGATACCTGTCATTTCGACGTCCTCCTCAGAGCCCATGGACATGGAGTCATCGGAGTCAGCTTCATAGGGACGGGCATCCTCTACCACTGGAGGAAGAATAGTAATTGCCATTGCAGAGGACGTCTGTAATCGATTGCAGTTGACTTTGAAATGGGGGGTGGAGGTGTTCAGATGGGTTACCAGCGAGAAGAAAATCCAGGTCACGTGATAGCTCCACTAAAGCCATTTACAAGAAAAGTACTCCTCCGAACATTACTCCGTAGTTAATGTAAGTTTGGAGGTATATCTTATAGAGACTAGATATTCATGAGACTATATTTTGAATTTTTAACAATGCTAGTGATCCGTCATATCATCTGAAGCCAGTAAATCAAGCCAACGCCGGTATTAATACACGAAATGAATCCCCTTTATAAAGCCAACTGCTCAAGGCTTTTTGGCCGCTTTGCTTGGGTTGGAGGTGGGCTCTTCCTTCTTCTTTTTGGACCGGCTACTACCGCCTTTGGGTCTATAACCAGTGTCCTCTTCACGCTTGCGCTTGTTCTTGGGAGTAGGCTGGGCCTCTGTCCCGTCCTCATCATACATATCCTCATCTTTGCGCTGAGCTGGTGCTCGCTTAGAAGATCGCTGATTGGAAGGGCGTGATGCAGACTTTTCAGAAGCAATCTCATGATCCTGAAGAGTCTGGGGTTGGTTACGACGCAACCAATTGTATACCGATGCGGGATTCCGTATGGAAAGATCACGCTCACGCTCCGCAAACGTGGGACGATCTGGCATGCGTGCGAGTTGCGTAGCAGCCGCCTCATCACCTAGCTTGGCGTCCAAAGCAAGGTAATACTCAGTCTCGTGCTCGGGCGTAAAGTATCCGAGTTTGCGATCACAATCATTGTCGGTTTTCTTTTCAACAGCGTCTGGAGCGATGTGATGGGTCTGTGACAGGGAGCTATACTGCTGGGCTGGTGCAAACGCCTTGTTTCGTTTGATGTTATCTTCAATCATACGATAAGCATTCGTGTCAATGCTCCCATCGGCCAAGCCATCTTTGGCTTCCCTCCATGCTTGTTTTGCTAGAGTTGCATCGTTGATCAAAGGTACAATTTCCTGCTCGGGCGTTGGTAGCAAGGGAGGGTCGTTTGGCATGCTCAGATCAAATCGCACGTCGGGAGAAACATGTAGGCTTTCGTTGAACTCAAGGAGCACCTCCAACAGTTGACTAGCACCAAGGGGTTAGCAATCACCCATACAGGGGGCATTTGTGAGTCCCATACTCATTCTGCTCCTGGATGCGTTTGGATAGGTCCTCTATGCGCAATTCTTCCCGGATCAAACTCTCATTCTCTCGAGTTCCTAGCTCGAACCTGACCTTCAGCTTGGCATATTTCTTCCTGGAGAGAACAGAAGTCAGCATTGTCCGATGGAGCTGACTGTGAGGACTCTGTACTTGAAAGACCGGACTGATTGCTTTGCAGGGGCCGGTGCAGTATTTACTGCATTTGGCAAACTTTCGGTAGGACGGTTGTCGTTTGGTTCTGCCATGGTGTTATGGCAGAGAGAAGTTCAGAAGAGATGAAGGGGATGTGGTCATGCGCGTTCGCGCCAAGAAGCGGATCCGGGCTGCGTGGGAGGCGGGTCCTGGCCGCCGTAAAAAAATTAAAATTATTGCCAGTCTGATTTCCTGTGACGGAAACAATCTCAGATTTCTGATAGATTGACTATTATTCTAGTGGTCATCACACCGTTTACATCTTCTGCACCATGTCAGAACTCACCGAAGTCAGTCAAAAGAAGCGAAAGCTGCAGGATGGTCCTGAGCTTGAAATCGATGTCTCGGCTCCCGAACCAGTCTCAAAGAAGGCTCTGCGCAAAGCGAAAAAGAACAAAGGGGGTGATGCAGATGATGATGGAGAACCCAAGTCGAACAAGTCGAACAAGTCCAGCAAACTCGAATCCAAAGAAGCCGAAACAGAGGGGAAGCGGTCCCAATATGGTATTTGGATTGGAAACCTATCGTTCACAGTGACCAAAGAAGAGCTGCGCATGTTCTTCACCGTCAACTCAGACATCTCCGAGTCGAATATCACTCGAATTCATCTCCCCAAGGGTCCCGAAAGATTTGGGAGGTCACAGAACAGAGGTTTCGCCTATGTCGACTTCACCGACAAGAAGTCCTTGCAAGAAGCAATTGGCCTGAGCGAGCAGCTCATGACCGGCCGCCGCGTGCTCATCAAAGATGCAAACAACTATGAAGGTCGCCCTGAGAAATCCGAATCACAAGAGAATGCTGCGGGTGCAGCCAAATCTGGTCACCCCCTTCCAAGCGAATCTTTGTCGGCAACCTAAGCTTCGATGTGACCAAGGAAAACCTCGAGGAAAACTTCGCCAAATGCGGGACTGTTACCAACGTGCATATGGCGACTTTCCAAGACACAGGCAAATGCAAGGGTTATGCGTGGGTGGAGTTTGAAGACCTCGCGGCCGCAGAAGCAGCGGTGAGAGGATTCATGTTGGTCAAGGAGGATGACGAGGAAGAAGATTCTTCCGACAGTGATTCTGACTCGGCGTCTGAGAAGAAGAAGAAGAAGTCGAAGAAGCTAAAGCCCCGTATGCAAAGGGTTTGGGTGAACCAGCTCATGGGTCGCCGTATGCGAATGGAGTTTGCCGAGGATGCGTCTATACGATACAAGAAGCGCTTTGGAAAGGATGCCGAGAAGAAGGATGAACCCGCTATCACAGAAGTCAATGGCGAATCACGCGAGAGACCCCGACACAAGAAGAGACGTGAATCCATCGATGAGTCTCGCTACTCCAAGGAAACTGTCCAGAAGCTCAGTGGTGCCATTGTCGAGGGCCAAGGCCAGAAGACTATGTTTGACTAAGTTACTCTCGTGGTGTATCATCTGCAGTCTTTCCAAGGGCCATTCGATCATCTCATACACAAAAATCTATCAGGGAAATTCTGATACCTGTCAATGACCTGCCTGTAATCGAGGTGGCGTCGGGTTCATACCCCGACCGTGGTCTACCCTGTGACTCAAGCGAGACCTTTGGATCCTAATTTTAAATATTTGTACAATTTTCTCAGATATCCATGATCCTCGAGTCCACTACTCGGTGGCACAGCTTGCAGTGGAATGCGCAAGAAAATGAATGCATGTATACTTCCGGATATCACAACATCCGGCCTGCATACTAGGGCGCAACCTTTGAATTTACCAGGGATCCAGTAGAAAAGTTTCACACAATCTCAATATTTCTTATTCAAGAGTTCTGTATGCTGTAGTTGTCAATATTTAGTTGGACACTAACCAAATCAAGTAATTTCGAAAAAAAAAAAAACAATTCTAGACCCAAGTCGTGGCAGAAACAACCTTACCGCCTGGACTAGGCCCGATCAGGCCTGACGTCTCTCGCGATGTCATGCCCTTCTTCGGAACTCGAATCTCTCTGTACTTCTCATCTCTCTTGGGCTGCATCTCCTTTCTTCTCCCCCCCTTCTTTCTCTTCTTTCTCTTTATTTTGGTTATTCTTCTTGCACAAGGTGTCTTTTTGTTTCTTCTAGCCTATCTTAGTGTTTTTGATCTTTCTTGATTTCATTGGCTATTCAACCGGTTTATCGTCCTTAAACGCCCGTCCTTCTCAGACTCCATTCTCTAAGCCAACCCGGTCCCGATAACCACTTGGTCAAGCGTGTGTCAATAGGGAAACGTTTAAGCCACCTTCAAGTGATTAATCCCTTGTGTCTCAAACATGGCTCCTCTGCGACGTCATATCGGAGCCAGCCGCAGAAAGAGACAGGAGGAAGATGGTGAAGAAGAGGGTTCAATGGCTGGGGACATGGGAGATGACTCGTTGAGCGAAGGTTCGGTCGACAGCCACCAGGAGGACGAGGATGCAGACGGAGAAGTCAGTGAAGAGAGCGAGGACGAGGTCCCTACGTTGGATAAGGCGGGCAAGGTCAACGGTCGTGGGGTGGACAGATCTACACGGAACAGTTCTGCATCGCCCGAAAAACCAGGACTCAAGACAACAGTTTCGGATACAGAGGCAATGTTCAACGGCCTGAAGGTCTCAGACGATGCGGGCGATGCTGCGGAGGTTCATTTCGACGATCTGAGGGAACAACGGGAGCCTCATGCTGGAAGAACGCCGTCCGCCCCTCCAACCGAACCAAATCGGAACAATTTAGCTTCCAGAAAGCGCCGCGAGAATGACAAGTATGTGAAGGAACGAGAGCAGAACCCAGCCTTCGTCCCCACTCGCGGCAGCTTTTTCCTTCATGACAAGCGATCCATTGACAACGGTCACCGACTCAAGAGCAAGTCTCGCCCCTACGGCCTGATCGTAGATGGCAGCTCTCGTAGGTATGCTATATTCCATTCCATTCCCGTCATCTGTTTTTTGTTTTTTGTTTTTTTTAAACTAACATGATTCAGGTCTTCCAAGCCCGATGCCAGCGGAGGGCAGTGGGCACACGATCTCCACGATACCGTGGCCGAGGATCGACCTGCAGCAAAGCGCCCAACACCATCCACGATGCCTAATCCTGGCGCATCCGTCCCCACGGCCCCGAGATCTTCCCCGCCCAATCGGTCTTTTTCGAGCACAACGTTGGTTGGGAACGTACCTGTGGTCGTTTCCTTGCCGGGGATGGCCAACCCAATTCATTTTTCTTCCGTGCCCAAGAGACTCCACACCCGGCTACCTCAACATCGACCACCCTTGCGACGCGACAAGCCGGTACGAATTTCTCTTCCCAGCCAGCCGCCCCGATATATCTTCCCTTCGGTTGAACGTTCCTTTATCTTCATCCCCGCGCGTTGCGGCCGAACCAAGTCTCTCGTGGTCGAGGTCGTGGGGGCGGATGGTACAGTGGACGACGTCCCAGCTACTACCCCAATTCATCTTACACCCCGAGCGTCGTCAGCCGTCGATCTTCGTTTGGCATGCCACCATCTCAGGATGGGTGGCCGTCACCTGCTGGATCTGTCTACTCCAGACCCTTAATTCCCACCGACCCTAAGCCCGTTGTCCGCCTTCCCCCCTCCACCTCGTCCGCCCGTAGGGATCCCACCATTTGGACCTGCGATGGCCATGCCCCTTCCTCACCCAGCCTACCGTGAAAGCCGCCCTGCCCCGATCCCCATGCACCAACCTCGTCCTCAGAAGACGGTCTCTGTTGCGGACATTGAAAGTCCGGCGACTTTCCCGTCATTCAACCCGCCTCAGCCGCAGCATGAGCAGCCCTTCCACCATCAGGTCCCTCTTCCAGCCCATGGCCCGCCGAGCCAGCCTTCGGCCACTCCGCTTTCCCAGATTCCGGAGCGGGCTATTCACGCACCGCCCTTCCAGCCTTACAGTTACCCTCAGCCTGGCTTCTACCCTCCGAGTTATCCTTCAGGCATGTATTACCCGCCTTCGGGAGCTGATTACGGGGGCTATAATGGACCCGTTGGGCCTGGAGCCTCTGTGCCAAACTTTCCGGGCCAGCCAGCGATGCCCTATTTAGCTGGGGAGCAACCCCCTCCACCGGGTACTGTTGCTCATGAGTCTGGTGGCACGGTCTACTTTTATGATGCCAACAATATGTACGGAAGTCCCGCACCAGGCCCACCAGGATCTGGGCCTGGGGGTGTAGTTGGCATGGGTGGCATGATGACACCGCCAGGCACGACCTTCTACTACCCTCAACAATCCGGTCAATATTATGGGCAGTGATAAATGACCTAGGTTGGTTTCTATTTTCTATTTTTTTTTTCTCTTTGCTTCTCTTTATGGATTCCACATCTTCAATTCCCACTGATTCTCTCTTTGTTCTCAATCTTCTCTCAATTTTCTTTCAGCTCTCTCCAGGATCTACAGGGGTCTTTGGATCATTTTGCTTTTTGTTATTTTTGTTATTTTTTCCCCCCTTTTCTATCTGCATCCACACATTCTCTAGCCAAGTTTTGCCATTTCCCCCCCTTAATTCTCTTCGTTTTTGATTCATTTTGGCCCAGGATTTTTGCATTTGAGCGTTTTCTCTTTTATCTCCACAACTTTTCCCCACACTTGTACTTGGGGGAGGAACCCCATTTGATTCTAGCCCTTCTTACAGCCCTTCTCACCCTTCTCACCCCCTCAATTCCCTCAATTCCTCCAATCGAATCCTCGTTCACCTGCATGACATCATATTTCGCTGTTCTCTGATGATCTTTTTTGTACTCCCCTCTCTACCTAGGGTGTTTTTGACGAAGAATAAAAAGCATTGTAGCTAATTCGTTATTGTTGTAAGTCCATTATATAGACACTCGTAGATACTCTACCTAAGCTATACCTAGTTCCCTAGGTACCTACCTACCTAGGTAGGTCTTGGTATTTCTTGGCATTCTCCCCCGGATCCTCCGCAACACGTCATATTCTTATGTAATCCATACTAAAAAGGAAATCACTCACCGCCTTCCCTCCCAGCTCGCAGCAGCTGACCTTCTCTCCGCTTTTTCCCTTCAATTCGACGGCTTCTTGTACAACTCCCCTCTCATTTTCCCTGACTCTCCTCTGCTTCTTTCCTTTTCACTCTTCATCATAAAAATTTCATCATTTTATCTTCCAGCATCTTTTTTCTTACTCGTAACTAAGTGCTCTTTTTGTCCTTTCCCACAGTACTGCTGCCTTATCAAGGTGTATCCACTTGACTTTCACATCATCTACAATGACAACCCCATCTACTACTTCTCATTCGGGTCCAGACAACCTGGTAACTGTCAAAGTACTCTATGATGACAGTAACCGTCGCTTCAAGATGCCTCTCAGGGAGCTGAAGGCCCAGGTGTTTCCCCAGATGGTAAGTCTCCACTCAAGCTCCGGATCTGTAATCCGACTCCATTCCTTATCTTCAGCGATCATTCAGATCAAGTTTTTTTTATCTTGCAAAATATCTTGTTCCAACTTTAAAAATCAAAAGAATACGTATTGTTCTTCGCAGACTGACTTGACGCTTTTGGTTTAGCTTAGGAAACTGCTCGGGGTTCCGGCGGATGTCAACGTCATCCTTGAACGCTATTCCGACAGTGCTGGTTCTTACGTTCGCTTAGACTGTGACAACATTGCAGTCTACAAACAACTCCACCGGGCTGCCAAGGCCAAGTCCAAGCTCCGTATCAAGGTTACTACTCTTCCTTCCCAAGACACATCCGCATCAACGCCAGTACCATCAGAACCCACTGTGCCGATGGAGTCAACCAACCACACTCGTCACAGTTATCTCGAAACAGTCCTGAGCCCTTTGACACCTCCCAATACCCTCCCTCTCATCGAGTCAGTCCAAGTCCCTCCTCCCACCGGTGAGAAAGAGTTGCCTCTAGGTCAACCTCGCTTCCGCACTTTTGAGATGGACCAAGAGAAGCATCAGTTCCCAGTCATTTCCCACACCTCGTCCAATGGGATGTTCTGCATTGACTGCAATAACTGTGGTCGGTCTATTGCAAATGCGCATTATCACTGCAGCATTTGTGAGAATGGGGACTATGACCTGTGCCTACAGTGTGTCGGTGCTGGCGCATCATGCCGCGGCGAAGGTCACTGGTTGATCAAGAGGACCGTCAAGGATGGTGTCGTCACAAACAGTACTACCGAGACCATTGCACCTCGAGAACAATCAGCCGTGGAGTTCAGCCCAATGCTGCCTACACAGATTCAGCGCGAGGTGATCACCAAGCCGGTGGTCCACATCCCTGAGCCGGTCACCGGGTCAGTTCCTGAGTCGGTTCAAGAATCGACACCCGATTCGGTCCAAGAGTCGACTCCGGAGCCAGTGGCCCCACCGGCTTGTTTGGATGCAGCCATTCAAGGCGAAGACAAGCCAATGTGCAATGGGTGCTGTCGTGGTAAGTTTTCTCTTTCTCTCCCTTTCCATTTCCCCTGCTTTTTCTCACAATACACAGAAGCCGACGAAAGCAATCTCGTCCGCTGCAATGACTGCGAGGACTATGATCTTTGCCTTCGCTGTCTCCTCCGAAATAAGCATGGACACCACCCTGGCCACACATTCCACCTTGGATCTGACCGGAACTTCTGCTTGAAGAATCTGATCACCTCTCGTTGCCTTCCAGGTCGGCAATTCCGACACGCTGCTGTCTGTGACGGCTGTGACAAGGTATTTACTCATTCAACTCACTTGGGAGGCACTTGGCTAATTTTTACTAGCGCATCGTTGGTGTTCGTCACAAGTGCTTGGCCTGCCCCGATTGGGACTTCTGCCCTGAGTGCATCTTGACTGCTTCCCAGAGCCACCCTGGTCATCGATTCGTGCAGGTTTACGATACCATCGGTGAACCTGCTCGTGAGCATGAGATCCATTATGGCATCTTCTGCGATGGTCCACTATGCAAGAACAAGCCTGCCCAGAGTTACATCAACGGAGTTCGCTACAAGTGCGCTGTCTGTGATGACACCGACTTCTGTGCGAGCTGCGAGGCCCTTCCGACCGACCACCACAACCGCACTCATCCGCTGGTCAAGTTCAACACCCCGGTCCGCAATGTGACTGTGAGCACCATGAGCGACGACGGCTCGAGTGGAGCAGTTGCGCTAGGGGACCAGATTCGTGCGCCCGCTCGTCCCATTGACCAAGCCGAGATTGAGGAGCAGGAGCCCGTTGAAGTAGATGCTAGCAAGCCTGTGGAAAAGGTCGAGCCTCAGCCATTGACGAGCAAGACCGTTTCTGAGGTCGATAGCTCCGTCATGCCGGACTACAAGGCATTCTTTATCCGCGACACTATCACCGATGGTACAAAGATGGCCCCAAACACCATGTTCCGCCAGACCTGGACTCTCTACAACCCTGGACCTGCAGCATGGCCCGTTGGCTGTGACGTGCGCTTCGTGGGTGGAGACAAGATGTTCAACGTTGATGTCTGCCACCCATCTAGCGTCGAGTCAATTCGCTCGGCCATGGAAAGCAACAAATTGTTTGCCCCTGTAGAGCCAGGCGAGAGTGCTGACTTTACTGTCAACCTTCGCACCCCTCAGCACGAAGGTCCTGCTATCTCCTATTGGCGTCTTAAACTCCCTAACGGTGTGGCCATTGGTCATCGTCTGTGGTGTGATGTCGAGGTGAAGACCGCTTCTCTGGAAGAAGGTGACACCAGTGAGACACACCCTGCTGTGTCTGAAATTGCCGGTAGTGGCATGATCTTCCCCAAGCTAGAGAAGGAATCTCCGGAGTCGAGCACTCACCAAGCCGAGACTCCTGCGCCGCAGGCACCGACCTTGTCGAATTCTTCAGAAGGGGATGTTCTAGAGGACGTTGAAAGTCTGACTCTAGACGATGCCTCCACTGACGCTGACACTGGCTTCCTAACTGACGAGGAATATGACGTTCTCGACGCTAGTGACCAGGAATATCTTGAAGCCAAGCAGTCCGCAAACTGAAAAATGTTTGGGGGAATCACCACGACACGATATGGGATTGGGAATTTGCACAAGTGCACTCTTTTTATTTATTTTTTTCCGTTTCTTTTCGGACTTCGCCGCAGAGGTCTAGTCACTCCAAGCATGACTAGACTTAATGATAGTGATTCTTTTTTTTTGGCCTACGAAAACAGACAAAGAAAAAAAAGAGTTTGCATCTTTTCTGCCTTAGGATAGTTTAATGCACTTTGCTGTTTGCGGTTGTTTATTATAATGATTTGGACAGCCTTCTTCTTCTCCTTCTTCTTCTTCTTCTTCGGTATTGTAGTCATCCTGTTCTTATGCTTTACGCTAATCCTATTTAGGTAAGCCGAGGTCGTATATGCATAAATCCAACCATGGGAGTCTTATGAGGCTATTGATCGCGAGTCATTACCTACACACGTATGTAAGTACCTATACAACCTGAAATATGTTAACTTCCAAATGGTCCAAGATCAGAAATAGCAACAAAAGTTGCTGATCTCGCAGATATTCCCGAGGATACTTCCCGAGGTCCAATTTAATGAGGGGCAGGAATGGATATGCCCATAAATATGGACTTTCCACTTTTTCGCATACTTTGCCTAAATTCATTCGCACTTGATACCGAATAGAATGGGATTCGGCACCATAATCAACCTCGCCCTCGTCGCTCTGGTCGCCTTCTTGGCTGGCCCAATCAGCCATTTCGTGCATATTACAGGATTCTTCCTCACACCCAATTCGACAGTGCTAGGTGAAGGCCAAGGCCCAATCTACATCGAAGACACCATCCACTGCGAGGATGTGCACCACTACCGCCCGGCGAACCTGCTGTTCACTGCCTGCGAGGACGACAAGAGCACGCGGTTTAGCTGGTTCCCGCCGCTGGCCAGCTTGCTGCCACTCAAGGCCCAGGGCTCTATCCATGTCGTGGATCCCAAGGTGAGTTTGTTCTAGACATCAAGAACAAATATCAAGAACTAACCCCCAATATAGACTATGAAATCAACTCGTCTGTCATTCGAGAACTTCCAAGGCCCCTTCGTGACACATGGAATCGATGTCATTGAGGATCCTGAGCAGTCAGGCGCAGTCTATATCTACGCCGTCAACCACATGCCCAACCCGGCTCACTTCGAAGCCGGCGAGCCCAAAGACATCCCGAAAGCCCAGTCTCAGATCGAGCTCTTCCACCACACCATAAACTCAAATTCCATCCGACATGTGCGCTCAATCAGCCACCCGCTCATCAAAACTCCCAACGACATCTATGCCATCAGCCCGGTCTCCTTCTACGTTACCAATGACCACTTCTACCGCGATGGTCCCATGCGACTCATCGAAGATGTCTGGCGTCCAGCCAAGTGGTCCGACATCATCCACGTGCAGATCGCCGATCTAAGCAAAGACGCTCCCATCGAAGCCTCCGTCCGCCTGACAGGTATATGGAACAACAACGGTCTCGGACATGGCCGTACCGACAAGGAAGTCGTCATTTCCAGCGCCATGGGCGGTGAGATCTTCCTCGCAACTCGACACGAGTCGAATCACTCTATCTCCATCGAGACCTCGATTGCCTTTGCTAGTTCTCTCGCGGATAACCCGTCCTACTATGACGACCCATACCGCACCGACTCGCATGATGCGAGCGGATATCTGGTGGCTGGTGTCTCGCAGGCTATTCACTTGTTGGCTAATGCTAAGGATCCGAATGCTTTGGATGCTGTTCAGGTGTGGTATACGACTCTCAATTCGAGCACTGGGGTCTGGGAGAAGAAGGTGCTGTTTGAGGATGATGGGTCCAGGATTCGGACTGCGAGTGCGGCTGTCTTGGTGCCCATTGAGCCTAAGGATGGTAAGAAACTTGCTTGGCTCTTTGTTACTGGGTTTATGTCGGAGAGTATGGTGGCTGTACAGGTTGAGTTGTAGACTAAAAGTGAATATTCCAGAGAGGATTTGCGTCGAAGTAACATGCTTGCTCTTTGCCCTGACTTTGTCTATAAATTTCCGCTTCCCTTCCAGGTTCAATGTTCCTCCATCTCATGTCATATCAAAAGCTCTATATAGTATTTCCAGTTCCCAATCACTTTTCCCACTACAATTCTGTCTAGCATCCGTTCAATCAGTCAACTCCGCCACGTCGAGTTAATGGCTGCTCCAAGCTTCGGGGAAGGACTCAACGGCAGAAGAGTGAGCATGCGGATGAGGGAGTTAGGAATCCGTGGCTGTATGTTTCGAAAGAGCTGGCGAACTGAGAATCCCAACAGCTTTTATGAATTTGAAAAGATTTTGTAGACAAAAAGTTGAATTAGTTGAACAAAAGCATGTAGATATCTGGAATTCAAGTTCTAGCGCCGCTGCAATGCAACAAATCGGGGAGAAAATAGAGCCAAAAAGGCAAGGTAAATAACAAGATTCATAAAAACAAAGTATTACACCACATTCATCACATCATTTGATTTCCCTGCTTCATCTGTCTGACTTGCCCGGCGGAGTCTGGGAAGAGAATGAACAGTACTTGTCCTTGATCGCGATAACCTCGTAAGTTCCTTCATCAGAGGTCTTGATCGTCTTGATGTTTTCGTAGGAGATGTCATGCTTGATATCAAGGATCTCCGACTTCTTTCCCTTGCGAACATTGGAGCTCCGGATGTATCTGTGGAGGGTTAGCAGACTGTAGTATAGACCACCTGGGTTGAGGTTATTGACTTACGTGAATTCGAACGGTGGTGTACCCCAGAACTCAAAGTGAAGCTCGGCTTCTCCACCCTCGTGAATGTCCACCACCGATTCTTTGCCCTTACTGATCCGCACGCTCGGCATAGGGTGGATGACCTTGGTGATGTCTTTGTGGGCCTTGCATTTCCCACTGGCTCCGTCACTGACGGCGTTGATTGTGAACTGGCCGGGAAGTTCCGCAATACGACGGAAGTTGGCGGTTTGAGAAGTGGCCTTGCGTTTGGCGCCGTCGAAGGTGTAGAACACGTCGAATGGAGCATGGCCTGATAGTGAGAATGAAAGCCGTTCGCCCACACAGTAGTCTACCTTGGACTCGAGCGGGATAATGGTAGGCACATCGGAGATGGCAACCCGCACCGAGGAGGCATCGAGGTCAGTCGTCTTTTGACATCCTCTTGAATCACGAACCTTGTGGATGCTGACTTGGTGTTGCCCCAAATCAAGATGACGACGAGGAATCAGCAGTTTGTGGCGGTTGGAATTAATCTTGGGAATGGTGACAATCTCCGGTTTAGCGTTCGAGTGATGTTTGATGCTGATCTCCAGCGAGAACGGTGGGACACCCTCCAAAGTAATGGGAATGGATTCCTCCCCGTTGATGTCTTCCTTGCAGAAGCCAAAGACATGACCGGGTTGGTCGAATTTAGCGGACGGTAGCGGGTTAACCTTTTGTGTCACAACCAGAGCTTTGCTCTTAGGATCGTGGTCGTAGAGGCTATCACCAACTTGAATGAACTTGTAGCTATATTCTCCAGGCTCAGAGGTATCCATCTCCATCGAAGTAACATGAAGGGCGGACTTCAAAGCCCGTGGTTTGGCCGAAGAGAATCCACCACGGTCCGCCTTGCGTCGCTTCTCGTATTGAACATTGTATGGAGGATTTCCCGACAGTCGAACCTCGAGGCTATCGTCATCGCCTTGACAGACTTCAGACTTTGCAAACTCCTTAGCGGCTCCAAGGGGAGAACCGTCCAGGGCAGTGATTTGGGGCCGTGGAATCCAGGAGACCTCAAACTCATTTGCAGACTGGTCCACGGTTCCAGGACAACCGATGTCAAATACTCCACTGATCTCATAAAGTCCCTGCTTGTCGACGGTCAAGACACTGTTTTCGTCGAAGATATTTTTCTGAACGGGCGCCGAGTCCACGTCAACATTCTTGTACGTGACAGTCCAAGGGCGTTGGCCGCTCAGCCTCAACGGGATCTCAATCTTGGAGCCCTGCAAAGCCAAGACACTCCTCTTCTTGTCAATCTGACCGAAAGAGACGTGCGGGGGCTGTGACCGGGCTTCAATATTAAGGCTGTCCTTGAGAGTTCGTTTGCAACCGGACTTATCCTTGACGCTAGTCAGAGACACGGTGTATTCACCACCACTGATCAGTTTGTCGGTAGTGATAGTTGCCACATCGGTATCAGATTCCAGTGTCTTCCTCAATCTCTTCCCACTGTGAACGATCTCATATTGTAAGACCCAAGGGGCCTCTCCAAGGAAAGACACCTCCACAGAAACCGCTTCACCGAAACAGGCCTTTCTCAATTCTCTTGATAGGAAATGAGCCGAAGCCGGTGGTTTCACATCTTGTTCAAGCACCGGTATCTTGAGAGACCGTGGCGAGTACACGGCATCCTCGATGTCTATGAAGCGATATGTGTACGAGCCGGCCTCCGATGGGGTGAAATCAAGCTGCGTGCGCATTCCATTGATGGCTTGTACTTTAGAAACAACGCCCTTGGAACTCTCAATGCTGTATCGGAGGGAGAATGGAGGCGATCCCGTGAGATCCAAATCCACGAGTAACCCAATAGCATTGTTGGCACAGCGGTCAAATATCTTTTCAGCCTTGACTGTCAAGTCTGGCTCAGGCGGGTTATGCAAATAGCAAGACGAAGGTTCGAGGATCTCTCCAGGACAAAACTTGGTAGAGATTGATGTCAATGCATACAAACCAGGCTCTTTGATGTCCAGAGTCTGATTCATATGCTTGAGGTCAACGGTCTGTTCCCGTGCTGCTTCTTGCGTGTTGCCTGTGAACGAATAACCGACCGAAAAGGGTCCATCGCTAGCATATGCGTTGCCATCAGGATGGAAGCTCAAGGGGAACCTCGTGCTGTCTCCCTTGGCCACTTGCAGCGGATTCTGAGCATTGCAGTTTTGCAGTGACAACTGCGGGCGCTCATGAACAGAGAACTGGTACCACTGGGATTGCGACTTTGTAGACGGCCGGTCCCCCTCCTCGAATATGGTAGAATAGTTGGCCACGTTCCCAATAGCATCGTGGACCTCTTCGATAGTGTAGAACCATTCTCCGCCGTCATTCAATGACTCGTTCAATGGAACCTCAATCCTTTGACTCTGTGCCCACGAAACGTCAGGCTGGTTGATGCTGTACAGAGCAGCAGTAGTTCGTCCATTGAGCAGCGGCGAGCGCAGATGATCGGGCTGGATGTTAAGGACCGAGAATCCACGATCGAGATTGTTGACCTGGCGACTGTATTTGATCTTCAGCGGAGGCGTGCCTTCCACCTCCAGTTTGAAGTCGGACAATTCTCCTTTGCACTTGTCGATGTGTGAGTTTTTGATCAAGGCTCGCGGGCAAGAGACCACCAGCGCATCAAATGTGCGCGTATGAACATCAAGTTGAGACTCGTCCACCACCCGTTGAAGGCGATAGACACCAGTCTTGCGTACAGGGAAGAGCAAGTCGCGATGGGGTTGACCCGGAACATGCTTCTTTTCCGCTTGCTTTTTGAGAGTCTTCAACTGCTTCGTGGGAATGCTAATGGTTTCATTTTCGCCAGTGTTAAGATCCAGACGCAGCACTTCGATCAGGACGGGGTCCGTCTGGTTGACGCGGATGGGCAGGTCGATTGTAGATTGGAGAGAATCAAGGCAAAGCGAGTTTCGGTCTGGATTGAGGACGGCGGAACTATTATAAAGTCAGTATGATCCTAGGTATACTTGAACGGGATAAACGTACCCCTCTGGCAGAATGTGCACAATTTGCCTTCCCAGGATCAATGACGCATTGTGAATGATATCGCCGGGCTTGACCCTGCGCTCAGAAATGGATAATTCGCGATCGTAGGCCACCTTTACTAGTCCAGTAATCCATGTAGCCCAAGGGATCTGCAGCTATTAGCGAGGGCCGATCAGCAGTCTAAAAAAGAACTAGAAAAACTCACCGGGATGCGGAACATGAGAAATACATTTCCTACGGCGTGAAGCAGGAATAAAGTGAGCGTGGTCGGGAATGCCCACTCCAGCCAAGGTATGCGCAGAGCCTGCAGGCCGACCAAAAAGATTCCATCTATCGTAGCCCATTTCAACAACAGCCAGGTTGAATCTAGGTCATCAGATGCGGTCAATGACTCATAAATTCGCCACGCATTCAAGGCAAAATATACTGCGACGACATAGAGTCGTTGGGAGGGAGCATCGATCACATTGGTGGGGATCAGTGGGACATCGGTGTTCGCGTTCGAGGGTGGTAGTCTCGACGCCTTCGAGGCCGATTTGGAGGCTGATCTGAGTGGCGTTCGCACAGGCCGGGTCTCTCGTGGCTGTGATCGCGAAGGGGTTTCAAAGAGCTTTTTCCTTCCAGTTCCAGGAATTGTTTTAGGCGTCTGCGGAAAGGCAGAAGGGAGGAGGGGAGTGCCGTTCATGGCATGCTGTGGTTGCCGGAGCTGGCGAGAGATGAAGTGTAGTTAGAGGGCAATGATGGCCCTTCTAAAGCTGTAATATGGTTTTAAATGAAGATAAATGAAGCTGTATGGAGCTGTATGAAGCTGGCAATTTGGGCCTATAGCAGATAAGAAAAAGAAGAGAAACAAAAAAGTTGGAGACGCGGGAAGCGCGTCGGGAGAAGCTCGGTCCAACGACATATGACCTAACCGCTTCTCTCTTGTCTTCTGTACTGTCGATATCTTTTTTATATCTCTTTTATTTCTTTGTTCTCGATTGTCTATCTATTTCTATAAAGATCCCGTACTTTTCTCAATATCTGAGAGCTCTATCTCTGTTTCCCAGTGAAAAAGAGCAAACCTATCATCCCAGGACTCCTTTTTATCATAGCTTCTTATTTCAATCTCATCTTGAAGCTTTACACTTCCACAGCTCCCTCTACTTTTTTGGAAAAAAATCAACATGGGTCCTCGAATCAAAAGGCGCCGTCTGACAGATCCAGAAGATCTCAGTGACGATATCTGCCAGCCTGCGTCCCGTCTAGAAAAAGACAGCTGGAATGGATTTTGCGAAATCGAATCAGAACCGGTATGTTTGCCTGGCAATGGCATTTGCGGTTCTTTGCTTACACAAATTAGGCCTTATTCAATGTTATGCTACGTGAATTTGGGGTCAAAGGGGTAAAGATCCAAGAAGTCGTTTCTCTCGATGAAGAACTCATGGCATTCCTCAAGTATGTTGCTTGCAGCCCCTCACTGTGCTCTTATATACGGGTCGAATATCTGACCATGAGCAGTAAACCTGTCTACGGCTTGATCTTTCTCTTCCGCTGGCGTGAAGATAACGATGGAAAGCAGGAAGCGACTTGCCCTGATGGGCTGTGGTTCGCAAACCAGGTCAGTTACATATTCTTCAGCTGAATCATTCCTTATTAATTAGGTATATGTATATATAGACTGCCAACAATGCCTGTGCCAGCGTAGCACTACTAAACATTGTCAACAACATCCCAGATATTGATCTAGGAGAGAATCTGCGGTCCTTCAAGGAATTCACCATGCCTTTCACCCCAGCCCTACGTGGAGATGCAATCAACAACTTTGAATTTGTCAAAAGGATACACAACTCATATGCACGGTATGCCATTCGCAAATGAGTTCGTTCTTTACTGTCGAAAGTACTGACTCACTATTAGAAAAATGGACATTCTCAATTCAGATCTACAGCTCAAGACTGAAGCTACCACTAAGAAAAAGGGTTCCAAGGGTCAGGCTATTGAGGAATCCGATGCCACCTTCCATTTCATTGCATTTATGCCTGTGATGGGCCAGCTATGGAAGTTTGATGGCCTGGAGCGACAGCCACGAGCACTTGGTATGCACCCCAATAGACATGCTGGGATGACCCTGCTAACTTCAGTAGGGGAATGTTCTGAAGACGACTGGTTGGAGCTGGTCAAGCCCAATCTTCTGGACCGAATGGCTGCATACGAAGAAGAGGAAATTGAATTCTCAATTTTAGGACTCGTGCGGGACCCTCTGCCGGATCTCATCAACGACTTGGCTGTCAACGTGAGACGCTTGGAAATTCTCAACCAGCGTGCCACATCCCTGTACCCATCATCAGATACACTTGCTTTGGATGAAACTGTACTTGGTCCTGAACCTTCCCTATCTCTGACACGTGAAGAGATCGACGCGGCCATGATCCCCACGGAAACCCTCGATGATTACCAGACATGTTCCGATGAGAAGTTGCAGGAGTATCAGCAGACGATAAGTAGGAGTCAGCGAGAACTTCGTACACGCATACGAGAAGAGCAGCAGTCTCATCGATCGGATGACGAGTATGCAGCCGGACGGCGATTTGACTATGGACCAGCGGTACGGACATGGCTTCGACGCTTGGCACAGAAGCAGCAACTGCAGGAGCTGTCCGCCCTCGTGGCCTACTGATTGGATGACCTTTCGTTAATCATATCATCTTTGGAAGGTTATATGAATATCATGAATATCTCAACATCTCAACATCTCATGTCCCCTTTTCTTCCCTTTTCTTTTTTTCTATCTTATGATCCTGGTGATCCTGGTGACGTAGTGACCGTGACCTTTTTTATCCCGTATATTCAGTTTATCTGCGCGTCGAATAGTTTCCATGTAGGCAGCCACCATTCTAAAAATACATAAGAAAGATAACACTATTAATAAGGATAGAAGAAAAAGAAGAAGAAGAAGAAACATAACGCCCTGTAAAAAGAGAAACCTCCTGACCCCACCGGGCAAAAAATAGTTCCAACGTCACCGCCTCGAATGTTGTTGAGTTGCTTCTCTTCTCCAACCTCCTTTTTGGATGATCTGTGACTTTAGTGTGGGATCATTCGTGGGAATCTTGAACTACACTTTATTATCCTTGTTTCGGTATAGAGGCAGGCCCGAGAGACACTAAAACCCCCTCTCACCTCTTCTCCAATTTGCCACCGTTTCTTTCTACTGGACGCCCCAGTTCACACTCTTTTTTTCCTACATACCCTCGTCACTTGAACATACACCATGTCTGCCATCGCTGTGCCTGAAAAGGCACCAGATGATTCCTCCAAGCTGAAGACCTTCCTCTCCATCCTTCGAAAGTATGCAAACCCTTCCTTGGTCCCCCCCCCCCGCACCGCTGCCTTGCGCAAACACAGATAGCCAGACGCCAGATGCTAATATTTTATCGGGAACTAGATTCGTCGGTGTGGCAGATATCGCTTCGGTTCGCTTTTCATTGCCGGCGCAACTGCTGGAGCCTAGACCAAACCTGGGTAAGGTCATTGTTCGTGTTACGCTGTGCGGGGTTGGTGCTGACTGTGGATGGCGACAAGAATACTGGCATTACTTAGATCGACCCGAGACATTTGCGAGGTCAGCAAATGTGCCCATACTTGGCGGACGCTTGTGTGCTGACCCAGGAGCTACAGCATTGGCAAATCGGATGATGAGCTAGGTCGGATGTTGGAGGTGTTGCGGTTCTGGTTTACCAAGGATCTGGTATGTTTCGGCTGCTCAGGTTCATCTGACTACTTGCTGATCTTGGTACAGAAATATGTCAAGGGGAAACCGTGCAAACCATACAACTCAACCCTGGGTGAATTCTTCCGAGTGAGTACCAGTTGTCTTCGGCATTTCATCCATGGCAGTTCATTGCTAACACCCTCTAGTGCAGCTGGGACGTTAGCGACAATATCCCCGAAGAAGAAAACCTCCCCGGCGTCAAACCAAGCTCCAATGGCTCCTCCACCGTGACCGACGGCGACGAGAAAGTCAAAGTATGCTACCTCACAGAACAGACCTCCCACCACCCCCCAGTCTCAGCATTCTACATCGACTGCCCCGAACGAGGCGTCTCGGCGCGTGGATTTGACCAGATCAGCGCCAAATTCACCGGCACCAGCATCCGTGTGAGCCCCGGACAGCACAACCTCGGGATCTTCGTGAATATCGAAAAGAGGGACAATGAGGAATACCAGTTGACCCACCCAAACGCCCACCTGGGAGGAATACTGCGCGGGGCGCTTTCAGTCACAGTCGCGGACACATGCTACGTCACCTGCCCCAAGACGGGCTTGAAGGCGATCCTCCAGTACCTGGAAGAGGGCTGGATTGGCCGGTCACAGAATAAGCTCGAGGGCGTGATTTTCCGTTATAGCCCGGACAAGGATACGATTAATCGACTGAAAGATGTGCCGGAGAATGACGTCGTCGCTCGCATCACCGGTTCCTGGCATGGAAAGATATACTTCACTCCGGCAGGCACCAAGGAGCCCCGTCTGCTCATCGACATCACCCCGCTTCACCCCGTCACAAAGACCTTGCCTCCATCTGAAGAACAGTTATCCAACGAGTCATTGAAGTTCTGGTCAGGTGTCACGAACGCCATTGTCGATAAACAGTTCAGCCAGGCTACCAAACTCAAGCAGGATATTGAGGAACGGCAACGGCAGCGGGCTGCAGAGCGCCTTGAAAAGGGTATCGAGTGGAACCCCCGGTTCTTCACTGGCGCGGTGACACCGCTGGGTAAGCCGGAGCTCACGGAGGAGGGACAAAAGGTTCTGGAGGGAATTCACTCGGGCAAGTTCACTCTGACGGAAAGTACAGTGCAGGGCGCATAGATATAATTGTGTTCCCCTGTTGACAGTGTAAACAACACTTTGGCGTATCTGGCATGCGACCATAACATTGAACTCGGCGTCTCTTTGTTTTACTTTGGATCTCTTTTTGGTTATATTCTTTATTCTCACATACTTAGACATTATTCTCTAGAAATCTGTTTCGTGAATAGCTGCAATGCTATCCCATTCTGGTGAATTTACAAAAAATTGACAAAATTGACAATAGTATATCATACACAGGTTCAATAGAATGATTAATCCTATTCATAAAAAGGATTACAACCTTTTGCCCAAAAGACTAACGCCGCCAGACTCCAATCATCAAGTACATCAACACATAATCCATCTCAAAACCAGTTTCAGGCTGCGGCACTAACGACCTTGAACCCTGTACTGACAGTCTTGGTGATCTCCTCATTCTTATGCGGCAGAAGAGACAGGGCATACGCAACATCGTTCCACTGTCGCTCTGTTTCGCAACGAGGAAGTCGAGCAGCCAGCTTCTCGGCCAGCTGTCGAGCGTGTTTTTCCTGAGCCGACATTAGCATAGATCATTAGGAATTAAAAGGAGAAACAAGAAAAAAAACATACCTTCTCGACAAACCCGATCAAGAACTTGACGATACGGCGGAGAGACGCTTCATCTAGGTTGGGTTCTGCACTCAACAGACTGAACATGTCAACAAAGTGGTTGTACACGGCATTGTCCTTGGTTGCAAGTTCTGTGAAGAACATGCGAGCCAGATCAGCGATCTTCTTGTCATCATCCTCTAGACATTTCGCCATCTCGCCCAGTTGTCCCTTGACCTTGACTTGACCAGCCAAGATGAGGAAGGTAAGGGTCATAAGGCACGTGCGCTTGACGGAGTCATCGTCGTCATTCAAACGACGGTAGAGGAAATCGGTGTTCTCGTCGATGAGGTGGTTGAAGCAAACGGCCATGTCGCCTAGCGCAATCACAGCATTGCTACGGACGATAGGATCTTCGGACCGCTCCATGATAGTGATGAGGAGTGGCAGATTCTTCTCGCAGTACTCTGCTGACACACACATGAGCTTGGCCAGGCAAAGGGTCGCAGAGGCCTGCAGGTCACGATCCGGGTAGGAGTTGTTGTTGGCTAATATCTCCACTACTAGCGGGCCAAATTTGGCCAAAAGGGAGTTCTCTCCATAGAGTAGCTCACGTTCTCGGATATGGGCCATAGCATCCTGGAAGTCGTCTTCTGTTGTTCCGCCAATGAGATCAAGCTCGTCTTCTTCGGCGTTGTCTTCTTCCTGAGGAGCTGCTGCTGCTTTGTTCTTCTCTTGCTCGACTTTGCGGCGTTTGAAGTCGAGTTCACACAGTTCCAAATGCACGATTTGCTTGATTGCAACGTGACCAACGACGTACAGCAGCTGCGAGAGTGCAGCAGATGCTGGCTTGGGCTTAGATTCCTGACCCTCGGTGGATGCAGTCCCAGGTCGTTGCTGCTCCTCTTCTGCATTGACAGAGGCATGCGAGGAAGGTGGGCGTTGTTGAAGATGTGGCGCAAAGACGAATCTGGTCTTTCGTCGGAGGATATCAGAGCAAAGGACGTCGGGGTGCTTGGACAAAGTGTAAATGGCGTTGAGCGCGTGCTCTGCCACTCCATACCATTCCTTGCTGGCCGTCTCAATCTCAAGCATGGCCGCTAGCTTGACCAAAACAGAGTGGTCACTAGCTAGTTTGGGAATGCCAACAACCTCCTTTGATTTGGCTTGACGTCCGGGAATCATGCGACGCAAAGCAATACAAGTGTACTTGGCGAGCACAAGGTCAGCTCTTCCTAAGCTACCAAGACCGATGCGCAGCATGGCCTCGATCTCTTTCACCACAACCTCTGGATCTGCCAGGGCAAGCATTCCGAGGACGATGATCGAACCCCTGCGCTGAGTCCGTGAGATTTCCTTCTTCTGGATACTGTAAACTTGCCATAGCTTGGCGATTACTGCCTCGGATACGTTTCCAGCCTTCATCATTGTGCTGAGCAGCTGCTCGAGGCAGGTCAATTCTGCAGGAGTTGCACCAAACGTCAAACTGATCATGTTGCGGGCGATGTAGTTTGCAGCATCATTGGGTGAGAAAGAGCCCGGTGCATCAAAGAAGAGGCCCTTGTAACAATCAATCAGATGTGTCTGGACGCCCTTTCCTTCGTCGCTGTTGCCCTTAGTCCAAATCAGGCGCAGCATACGTCGAATCCCACTGCGGGCAGTCTCAACTTTGTACGCATCGAGAACAACAAAGAAATCCATGGCTTCGATAACCTCGCTCTTGTTCCGGGATGAAAGTAACTGTGTGACGATGGTGGACCCGGAGTGAAGCACTTCGATGAACCGGATGGCCTCGTTGTAATATTTCCTCGTCAGTTGGAGGCGTGTCATCAATTCAGAAGTAGCAGCCTGTTCTGCGGCTTTCTGCACCGCAATAGCCTTCTCTTCTTCACTCATCCGGGGCGCTTTCGATGGAGAATCATCCGGCATCTGTGTAGCGTCATCCAACAATTCAGGGTCAACCTGAGTCATGTCACCTGCCTCAAAGCCAGGTGTTTCAGGAGGACGCAGGGCATTCAACTCAGCGTCAACCACGTCCAGTCTATCTGTCCACTCCTTGTATGAGAGGAGCCCACCATGCATAACACTGAAAGGATGTGTGGAAACAAGCTTGGACAGCAGTTTGATCGCATTACGTCGCACGTTGCTGCTCTTATCCTCCAAGCTTCTGGCGGCGAGTTCCGCTGCAGCCTGTCGCCTCTTCGGGAACTTCTGCTCCAGGTCGCAGATCCGCATGAATACCTGGATCGCGCGACAGCGGCAGTAAGGGTTGATATCAAGGAATCTTTCTTCCAGTACATCGAAAAAGGCATTGATCTGGGTCTTATAATTATCACTGCGTTCTTCCTGTCGGCTAAGATCGGAGATGAGGTTTCCGCAGACCTCGATTACTGCACAGCGGAGAGTATATGCCTGGACTCGTTAGCGAAACTTTGGGAAAACTGAAAGAGTCACATACATCGCTATCCAACTGTTTGGCCAGAAGGGTCATTTGCTTGATAATCAATCTGGGCGCAAGTTCAGACAGTTTGATAATAAATGTCGATACAGACTTGGGGCCCCTCGTATCATTAGAATTGAACTCCTTATTTCCGAGCTCCCTACACGTAAGGTTAGCAGCTATCTTGCCAGTTTGCTGATATAATCTTACTTCAAGATCTCGTCCGAAAGCTGTGGATAGTCATATTGTTCTGCCAGAATATGGAGGAATTCGGCCATGGGCTCGGAGAGATGTTCAAAGTAAGTCAAGCTCTGCACAATTGAAGTTTGAGCTCCTATTCTGAAGTCAGCTATCGCTCAACCGGTATGAGCATCATGATACCTACCAAAGGCCTGGCCGTGATGCTTGACTGCGATGCAAAGAACCTTGAAAGCATGCATGCGAATGGCCATGCTCTTCACCCGCTGTTCGCTCTCAAGAACCAGGTAGATTGTGCGCGTGAATAAGGTAATAAAAGTATCACGATCCGAAGTAGTCAAAAAAATGCGTCCTAGCTTGAGCTTCATCACCTTGCACATGGTCTCCATGGATATTTGGATTTGGGGCGTCCAATCCCACTGGCCACTACTGGCGGATTTCTTGGATTTGGGTCCTCCTCGTCGCACGGGCGCTGCTTCAGTGGGCTTCTCTGCAGCCTTGACCTCTACGGCAGACAAGGCCCACTGGAGAAGGAACCCGTATATCTCCAAAAGCTGCTTGTGGTGTTGAATGGCATCCTGGTCGTCGGATTCAAGGTCTCCATGGATGATGTCTGCCTCTACAGACAGGCCAGAAACAACCAAGTCCAAAAGTTTACTCAAATACTTTGCAGGAAGAAGGGTCGCGTATCTGCAAGAGTGAAAAGGATCGTCAGATTCGAGTCCAGGCGGGCGCCAGCCTCCATGGGCAAGTTGGGAAGGGACCGGTGCGCACTTTAATAAAAACTGTAGTGAGTCAAATAATGATGCTCGTGTTAATCCTTCGGGGTTCTCCGCCACGGCATCCACGATCGGGTTCAAGACGCTGTCAATCAACGCTGGCGAAAGTTGATCAGGATCCGATTCGCAATCCAGCAGTTCCGGGTCCGCATCAGGAGTCGGGATCGAAGCGGGATCACTCAAATAATATTTGAGCGATTCATTTATGTTGAATTGTATTCTGTCCTCCATTGTCGCGGGGTGTTGGAAAAAAAAGAGGTGAAAGCGGGGAGGAAAGCCGATTTGCGTGTTGATAAGCTCCCATTTGTTTGGCTTTTGCCCTTTTCGGTCCAACTTATGTAATCACTGTCATGTTTTACCGCTAATGCGGGAGACCCCTCACATTTCGTACCTCACCGCCTTGTATTGATCGATTTTCCCGGCAGTCGTATTGTCATATTTGTCACCGCATGGTAATTTTTCCACGTTTGTCCGTGTTTGTGGCAGTTGCGATAAACATTGAAAGGACTTGACCTTGGCCTAACACGCGACATGATCTTATGACTTTGCTTTTCCACTTCATTACTCAACAGATTCAAGTCATAGACTCCTCATTGTCTTCCGTGCCGCCATGTCGGCCCTCCGCGCTGCCCCAGGCATATTTGAGCTAAAGCACAGCAGTTCCTTCCAAGAGCCACAATTGAAACACAAATACTCGTTGGCGCAGGATGACGAACCAGTCTCACAAAGCGATGCACCCCCGGAGAGTGACTACGAGGAAGAGGTGGACGAATCGGTCAGGGAGGATATGCGAAAGCTCGAAGACACATTCCCAGGAATTTCAGATCGGTTTCGTCTGGTGAATAGGATCGGAGAAGGTATAACTGGTTCCGCTATTGGTGGGAGTCTTTGTTGACGGGCCTAATAGGTACATTCTCCACGGTTTACAAAGCAGAGGACCTTCATTATGACGCACACCAGAACGACTGGGATGTCTCAACACCAGCCCAAGGCAACTATACGGAGCCTCCATCCAAACGAAGACGAGTTGAAGGCGAGCCAACCGGACGGAAAAAAACAAAATTTGTCGCATTGAAGAAGATCTATGTGACGAGTAGCCCGCTGCGGATCCAGAACGAGCTAGAACTCCTGCATGACCTTAGAGGATGCGGGTCTGTTTGCCCGCTGATCACTGCTTTCCGATACCAGGATCAAGTGGTTGCCGTGTTGCCCTACTTTCCCCATACCGACTTTCGCATCCAATATCGCACGTTCATGGTTGCAGATATGCGCCATTATCTACGGTCTCTTATGACTGCCTTGAACTCGGTACATGAACATGATATCCTTCACCGTGATATCAAACCGACGTAAGTGTATCATACTCGGTGCCCTGAACCATACTAATGTCTTTAAGCAACTTTCTCTACAATCCAGATCTGAAAGAAGGTGTCCTGGTCGACTTTGGGCTTGCAGAGGTACGATTCTTGACTGCTATATGTTGTTGCACTTACTGACTTTCTCAACAGCGCCAGGGTTCAGAATACAGCAGCCCATGTCTATGTACTCACCAAAGCTACGTCCGGCGAAGCCGGATCCTTTCAAGCTACTATTCCAAGAACCCCCCCATCCACGGGATTTTCAGCTGGCTACCCCAAGAACGATTCACGGCCATCACGGCGAGCGAATCGCGCTGGGACTCGAGGCTTCCGTGCCCCGGAAGTTCTCTTTAAATGCACATCGCAGACCACAAAGATTGACATGTGGTCAGTGGGTGTCATCCTTCTAACTCTACTAGGACGTCGGTTCCCCTTCTTCAACTCTGCCGACGATATCGATGCAATGATCGAAATGTCGAGCATCTTCGGCACCCGACGCATGAAGACCGCCGCGGCCATGCATGGACAGATTTTCGAAACAAATATCCCAACCATCGGCGAGAAAGGCTACAGCTGGGAGAAGCTAGTGAAATGGTCAAGCTGTGTGGAAGATCTGACGGAAAGCGAACAGCAAGCAACGCGCCTGTTGTCTGGACTGATGGAATTGGACCCGTCTAAGCGGCTTAGTGCTGCGGATGCCCTGCAGCATGAATTCTTCACGGATCCCGTTCACCATGATGTGGAATGGGGAGGTAACCCAGAAGAAAGCGCAGAATCAGGAGAAGAGGAGGAGGAAGATGATGCAGATGAGGTTGCCATGCTATGAGACCCAAGACTATTTTGTACGATATGTGAGAGTGGTTCTATGCCATACAGCACACCACTTTATTCATGACAATGAAGCAGCCTTCATGACTTTAGACAATCCCGCAGTATGCTTATCTATCCTATTGTAATACTAACTCGCCTCTCCAAAATCATAATGGCCGGTCTCCGCGGCATGCTTCGTAGCGCCCTTCTCTCCAGTGAATGTGCCCCCGCAGATGTTGCAGTGAACAGTAAACCCAGAAGTGTCAGTGTAGTAGTGCTTGCCTTGCAACACCCCGCACAATTCCTTGGCCTTTTCCAAAACAACCGGATCAACGGCCTCAAATATCTTTGTGTCGTCATGTGCCAGTGGGTTGGCATGGGTGTAGGGTGGCCGGGAGGGGACAGCGCAAGGACATCGTAGTGAATCCCCGAGTACACGACAATACACCGCGTCGGTGCTCCTTCATTAAACTGGAACATGTTCAGAGTCTGTACATCGATGGAGCATATCTCGATATTGAAGTATTCGCTGAGAATCTTAAGCTCAATGGCGCCACCCACGAGTCCTCGTTCTGGATCCAGGTACAGTATTCGTCCGGTTTCTTGCCCAAAATTGCTGCTGAGTATTCCGATGGATTTGATTGAATGGTCCCTGCAATGATTGATCGCAGCTCAACCATCGTGTCCATATCGCCCATGACTGCAGCGCCAACTGCTCGGAAAAGGCACGAGTTGTCGTCGGGCATCACCCGGAGAACGAACGTTCCAGCATGTTCTGGGGAGGCTATTTCTGGCGGGTCTTCGGCGGTGCTCTCATGTGGTCTTTGCGGCATTGGTGGCTGCGATGGCTGTGATGGTTGTGGTGGCGCCGTTCGAGCTGTTAGCGCATCGTCGCTCACGCCTCGGCTGGCCCCCTCTTTCTGTGCGACGATGAGTGACTCTCCGTTTAAATTTATCCCGACTTCTAATATCCCCTGGTCTGGTTGGAAACTGTCAAGCTCGAGTGGTTTGAGAGGGTATCCATATTTGACGTCGAAGGTAGCAAGGCCGGTCTTCTCCGCAATTTGGGTTCGGAGATCTTTGATAGTTGCGGCATCATCCAAGGTAACAGTTGACTGGCCTGAAGGCCCACGGACTCGAATTCTCATGGTGATGAAGTCTTGAAGAGGGAGAGAGCTTAGAGAACTGTGAGATGGACAACCTTCAGAACCTTGGGAAATTCCACTGATAGGGAGATATGACGACTTGCCGTGTGGGGTATGGGTATACCGGAAGCAGTCTGCGAAGTAAGCCAAATGGTATAGGATTCCCCTTTTTTTTGGGGCAAGAAGAGTAGGACTAGTATATGAATCAGTTCTCTTCTCCTTCAGATCCCAAACATTAAAGTCACAAACACCGCTGCAAACAGGGTTGAGACTAATCATAGTAACCATAGCCTTGCAGGGCTATGTATATTGACAGTACGAAGTCTGTTCCTGAAGGACAATTTCAACCACAGTATGCGAGTATAGCACAAATACCGATAGAAGAGATGTGAATATAAATGCCATGATGTAGTCCAAATACACAGACTCATGAAGAATGTGAGGTTATCGTCATGAATCTTCCAAGGTTGTCATGAATCTCGTCATGAAATTACCGTAACGTCAAATAGGTCGCTGAGTCAGCAACAGCTTCACGCGCTCGTAAAACATTCTCCGACCTCTCCAGGGCTTCAAGGCTTCCCCTACTGTCTTACCTGAATTCTGGCTTGCTTTCTTTGATTTCTTTGATCTCAACGGCTGCCAATTTTACCGCGTGGAAACGCGCTTGTCGCCAACGACATGGAGTCCGAGAAGGAGCTATCGCAACCCCCGCGTGAACAACCCGTCAACTCCATCGAGAATGACGGTGCGATCACCCGCGAAACATGGAAACTGATGATGGATGTGGTCATGGCAATTTATGACTATCGAGAAGAAGAGTGCGATTGACCCTGACATATAAAACGATAGCTGGCTAATTATTTCTTGCGCAGTGGTCATGACCCGTCGCGATTGTTCCATCGCAGTGTCAACAAGCGCTATGTTCCCGACTACTACGATATCATCAAGGAGCCGATGGCCTTGAGTATTTTGAAAGCGCGCATCAACAAACGGGAATACAAGCACTTTTCCGAGTTTGTCCGCGATTGCGCCTTGGTGAGTGGTTGCGCGCCTCCAGGGTTTGCTGGTAGCTAACGATCTAGATCCCGCACAATGCGCAAACATACAACAGACCTAGATCACAGGCCTACGAAGATGCGCTTGTTGTGAAAGTATGTTTGGAGTAAACTCGGCCACCCTAGGCATTCAACTGACAATTCCCAGGAAGTTTTCGCCTCCGAGTTCAGAAAGCTGGCCGCTCAAGGCCTAATCCCTGCTGACGAGGCAGAGCTACCCGATCTTGGAGAGATCCCAGAGGCCGATCCGCTGCCTGACGACGAGGAGGAAGAAGAGGAGGAAGAAGAAGATGAGGATGACGACTCTGAGGATGAGGGCCGACGAAGAAAGAAGCCCGGTCCCAAGCCCGGCTTCAAGCGTGGAATGACTCAAAAGCATGAACCCGACCTTCGCAAAAAACGAGGCCGTCCTCCCCGCGTGGACACACCCATGGAAATCCGCATCAAGACAATTCTGAAGGGAATTCGGAAGTTCAAGGGCGCCGGTGGCTACCTGAAGATCACACACTTTGAACGCCTCCCCGACAAAGCCGCTTATCCGGACTACTACATGGAGATCAAGGAACCCATCGCCGTCGACATTATCAAGCGCAAGTCCAAGCGCAAGAAGTATAACTCCGTCGACCATTTCATGCGCGATCTTGATCTCATGTTCGAGAATGCCAAGGCTTACAACCAGTCCGACAGTCAGATCTTCAAGGATGCGGTGGATCTGCAAACCGAGTCACGAAAGTTGGCCGAGCAAGAAAAGAAGAAGCCTGACAGTGAGTTCTTGATGGAAGACGGACGCTTCCCACTCCCTGATGGTATTCTCCACCGCGGTGAACTGTGGAAGGTTGGCGACTGGGTTCATATCCAAAACCAAAACGATGTGACCAAGCCCATCGTTGCACAGATCTACCGAACTTGGCAGGATTCCGATGGAGAGAAATGGATCAACGCATGTTGGTATTACCGTCCCGAGCAGACAGTCCATCACTTCGAGAAGCACTTCTACCCCAACGAGGTCGTGAAGACTGGACAATACCGAGACCACCGGATTGATGAGATTGTGGATCGCTGCTTCGTTATGTTCTTCACCCGCTACAGCCGTGGTCGCCCAAGAGATCTGGCACCGGATAAGGAAATATACGTGTGTGAGGCTCGGTACAATGAGGAGAAACACAAGTTGAACAAGATCAAGACATGGGCCAGCTGTCTGCCGGATGAAGTGCGAGAGAAAGACTACGAGATGGATCTCTTCGATGTGCCGCGCAAGATCAAGAAAATTCCTAGTCCGATCAAGCATCTTCTCAAAGAGGATTCCAAGGAGACCGATGACCTTCCTCGGCCGACATGGGGAGCCGACAATGCACCCCCTATTGTCGGCGCTGTTCACCGCCGTCCACGAGATGAGAATGTAAGTCTTTTCCCACATGACAAAAGATCCTAGAAAGCTGACAGCATTAGGAATCCCCACCACCCGAGCCAACCCCATCCCCGCCTCCTCCTTCTTTGCCCCAGTCCGTAGCACCCCGTCAACTGAGCCAATCACTCCCCAGGACGGCCATGAGCCCAGGCACTGCTGCACAAACACGTGCTCCACCAGCACCTCCGGTCATCATACACACCACTCCTGCTCCCATCCGCCCACCAGGCTTCCATCAAATGACCCCATCCCAAGCCTTTACAGCATCCCTCCAACGCCGCGCAAGCAACCTCGCCAATCCGCAAACACCAGCGGGCGCATATCAGCCCTCACCACCGGCCCAGACATACTCACCGGCCCAGCCATCGCCGTACACCGGCTACCCCCAAAACCGCATGCAAGCCCCGCCAGCCGTGTACAACCCCAACGCCCCGCGACCCGTGGAAGTTTTCCACTTGAGTGACGCAGCCAACGCCGCTATCCCAGAAGACATCCGCGGCCAATTCCACTGCGACGACCACGGCCGCGTGCTCTTCTTCTCTGCGCCGCCGGTGGACTTCATCCCGCCCTCGAAGCAGAAGCTTGGTCATTCCCTCAAATATCTTGCTACCAAGGAGGAGCACCAAAAGAAGGTCGAGGAGCGGAAACGCAAGTTGGCCGATGAGCGGGCGGAACGTGAAGACGCTGCGAAGCGCCAACGCGCTGAGGTGGAGTCTGAGCTTGCGGGCCGTGCCGAGGCGCTTACTGGCAAAGCGGTTGAGACGTTGGTGCAGCGCATCGTTACGGGTACAGATCAACTGTATGGATATCTCCATCAAGCTCGGGATGATGATATTATGGACCTTGATGGAACGCGAGAGCGTAGTGCTGTGGCAGATCGCCAGGCTGTGGAACAGACGCAGCAGATCCAGGCTCAGTCTGCGCAGGATGGTTTGGTCAATTTGAAAGGTACTGCTTTGTACCTGGACGAGGCTTAGTTATATGAACATATCGGCGTAGTTTCATGATTTGGTTTCGAAAGGCGTAATTCAAGGCGTCTACTTTAGTTTAGGAATGTGTATGATTAGGTAGAACATGAATTGATTCTTATTTCAAGCCTTCATAAGCTTCAATTGTTAAATCGCGCATGTCAATTATAAGAATATGGAGGTTTTAGCCACAATTGTCACTAAATTTCAATTTGATGTTATCGAACCATGGTGATTTTATATATACCGATTCGCGCTCAACAACAGTTTGAATATCAACCTGCTGTCAAGTAAACTGCATCCTGAAGATATCTACTGGACAATTATCTACCGAGAGATCAAAAAGGATCAAGGAATTGTTTATTTGCACATCTCCAATTTGTACATGCCTGCAGTCCTGTGAATCAAGACCGCATATTCCGACAGTAGGGGACAAAGAACAAGGGAGAAGAAGACAAAGTAAGCACCTAGAAAACACCAGTGATCGCAGTGGTCGTGTAATCATGAAACAAAAGCAGATATGAAAGAGAAAAGAGAGTCGAGATATGTCAACCCAGGCACCCTGCGATACCCAGAAATGAAACGAATAAAAACAGTGAAAAGGCAGAGATTAATACAGTAAATGGCTGATCAGATAATCCTCTGAAAGCCCGGCAATGAGAAACACATATGACTGGTCTAGATGATTCCAAATGGAATGAAACAAGGCAGATGATGCTGAGTGCCAGTCTATGATGAGAGGGATGTGAAGTTGTTTTTTCTTGTCGCCTTTTGTCTTTTGCCGAACCAGATATCTCACTTGAAGAGAGAGAATGATGTATTGTCTTGGACCCTCCTTTGTTTTGTCGCCTTGATGTATGTTGCCCAATTGAACTCCAATACCGTTTTTCCTGTGTTTTTGGTGAATATGAACATGCCGCAATGCTGGACTTGGATTTGAAGAATCATGATGAAATTGGTTGAAAAAAAGAGGGCAGATTAGGAGGAACTTTCTTTGTTCTCACTCCATGAGGCACTGTTCCGCTTGTTGCCGACCTCTTCCTCCATGTCGAAGACCAGGTCACTCTGCTCTTCCTCCTCAATCTTACTTGTGTTGACAGGAGAGGAGATGATTCGGTCAAGGCGGCCGGTAGGCCCGCTAGGACCAGCAGACGACTGGCGAGCAGAACCAGGGTGAAGGCCCATGCCGCCGAGCTGCTCAGAAATCATCGACATCGAGGATTGACGTCCGGGGCTGAGAGATAAACGACGCCCCTTCGTGGGATGCCCGGCTACTGCCAATGGGTCCCAGGCTAGGACTGGTGATTGGGTTCAGCGATGATTCACGGAGAGGAGAACCGATGTGGAAAGAGGAAGAGCCATGAGATTCCTCTTCCTTGCGCTGGCGCTGCTTGGCAAACAATGCACCAAATCGAGACGGGCTAGATGCCAAGGGAGAACCAGTCTTAGAGAAGCTGGTGCTGGTCATGCCGAGGCCGCTGATGTCGCGGTGGCTGGAGCTTAGGTCGTTATCAGTTCGGGAGAGGCGGCGTAGCTTTTCCTGCGGGGTCAGAACATCATCGTGCAAGTTGA